CTCTATCGGACACAGGGGAAGCTTCCAGCAGCTTTTCACAGAAGCCACCCCTGTAGCCCCCCCGCTACCAAAACCTTGCCATGCAAACCCAATACAGTGAAACAAGTGTTTGGTTTTTTTTCCACCATTGTAAGTATTTATTTTATAATAGCTTTATTTAGATTTAAATAATTTCTGTTTCTCATCCTTTTTTAGATACAATACACCGTTTAAAAAGGAAATTCAGAGCTGGATTTATAAACTAAGCAGCTCTACAGACATAATTGAAGAATGGCTGATTGTGCAGAACCTCTGGATTTATCTTGAAGCTGTTTTTGTAGGGGGAGATATTGCAAAACAGTTACCCCAGGTAAACTTTACAATGCTTGCCTATTATTGTGTATTAAAAGCTATCTGTGTAATAATTTCCAACAGATTATGCTGTGAAAGTACTTATGTTTTTGCCATATATAGGAAGCAAAGCGTTTTCAGAATATTGACAAATCATGGATACGAATAATGCAACGAGCTCGTGAAAACCCAAATGTAATTAATTGCTGTGTCGGAGATGAGACTATGGAGCAACTTCTCCCTCATTTACATGAACAGTTGGAAGTATGTCAGAAATCACTTACAGGGTATGAATTGTTTGATTTTTAATGCATTATTATTTTTTAAATAGTTTCTATGAAATATTAATAGTATTTCAGTCTTACTTTCACTCTTATGTAGAAAAAATTGAAGAGCTGAAATCTTCTAATAAAAATCTTGTTCAATTTTAAAGATATTTAGAGAAGAAAAGACTACTGTTTCCTAGATTCTTTTTTGTTTCTGATCCTGCCCTTCTTGAAATTCTTGGACAAGCAAGTGATTCTCATACAATTCAGGTATAACCTTAGTGATTTTTTTCTGCTTATAACAACAAAAAAAAAAGAATATGGAAAAGCATTTAATAAATTAAAATGTAACCATTCTCTTCTTACAAACTTTGCTTGAGAAAAATTTTTGTTACTTGTTCTTTAGTCTTTGACAAAATATGAAATGGATATCTGTAATTTAACAAAATCTTCAGAATTCAGAACACTAGAATATGGTCCCATCAAGTGATTTGCTGGTGGTTCCTTTTACAACTAAACTAACAGAAGGGACCCTGTGAGACTTTCCTGCTTTGCGTATTGCAAAATTAATCCAGCTAGTCTGGATTGTTACTGAAGGTTTATAGTCCAACTAATCTTGATTGTTACTGAGGGTTGATTGAGATAAAATAGTTAATCTCACACAATAGCTGATCACTGTTCTGCTAGATCACCTCTGGAAACTGTAAAAAAAAGGCAAATGGAGATAAAATCCTACACAACCATTTCTGTAATTATTACCTACAAATGGCCTGAAATTCATCTGTAGGTTCAGATAAACCTTTGCAGGATAACCTTACTTGAGATTTTTTTCTGTTTGCTAATGTTACATATTTACATTGAATGACTTCTGAATTATCCTTACAGCCGCATCTGCCTTCCATATCTGACAATATAAATGAAGTAGACTTTCACCCAAAGGATTATGATCGCATATTGGCAGTCATATCAAGAGAAGGAGAAAAAATTCCAGTAATTCTCTGAATTTCTTTTTCCCCCCCCCCAGAAATGTTGTTAATAGATAAATTATTCTATTATTGAACATATAAGTATATATTAAATTGAATTATTGTTAATTACAAATGAACATGTCAAAGATTGGTGTAACAAAACTATAATATGTCTTAATTAAATAAATTTATAGTGTGTTTATTGAAATTAAATCTGTAGTTGTCTTGAATACAAATTTAGTAACTATCTGGTAACTAACATTCTTGAACAGAAGTTTGGTAACTATGTTCTAATTTTGTACCTTTTACTTTTATTCATTTTTCAGTTGGACACTCCAGTGATTGCAAAAGGACCAGTAGAACTTTGGTTGCAGGATTTATTGCGTGTGCAGCAGATTTCATTGCATGGCATAATTAGGGCAGCATATTACCAAATTAGTGACCCAGGATATCAGTTGCTGAATTTTCTTAATCACTTCCCAGCACAGGTGAGATTACAGGATGTGGATTCTGGGGTGGGGGGCGGGGGGGGAGGTTGGATGTAAAGAGCATATGGGATTGTCTATATGAGGAAGTTTTCGTAGCGGAAACAAGGATATGGATCTACTCAGTAGAAGGCAATCCTATTCAATTTTGGTACCCTATATATAGCATACTTTTCTTGTAATCTACTTTAAAATGACTTTTTTCTTCTCTTGGAGAATATAAAGTAGAGCTTATATTTTCTGTGATGGATATTGAACTCCTTTCAGATGCAAATAAAATTTCATGTGCAGATTGATTTCTCTCTCATAATTTAAGATTGCAAGAGCTATGACTATGGTTATTTATCTCATCATTTACAAGATTTACCTCATAGTTCATATATTTGTCACTATAATAATGCAGTCCTAGTAGAAGCCTATCTTGAAGGATTCTAGTTTGCTTAGAGACTCCTCCATCTTATTGATAATTCATAAATTTCATTAACAAGTAATGAATTGTTTCCCATCCTGTACAAATTCTGACTCTGTAATTTGCTAATAAGTACAGTGCTGGGTGTAATTTTTTTAATAGAAATTCTTCAAATATGAAAACTGGCCAATACATTGCTAATTTAAAAAAAAAATCAGTACACAAATATTTAATAGAATTATCTTAAAGCTGTATTTATGATGTAATTATGTATTATGTCAGCAGTATTTATTTTAAAAAGTTTACTACTTTTCTTTAAACAGGTAAGGACTGTCTGTCTTGTTTGCATGTCAGACATTTGTTAGTGGCTTTATTACCATCTGCAAAGATGATCTTTCCCATGTCTTCCTAATCCAAATGGTTTTATGTTCAAAGAATTATTAGTGTTAGAAGGGGGGGGAGGGAGAAGAGGGGGAGAAGAAGAAAATGGTCTTTGGCCAAGAAATTTAAAGTACAGAGAAAGAAAAGCTGTGTTACAGGACAGAGAAGAAATTGGGCAAAATACTGACAAATATTTGAAACGTTTTCTTTCCTTCAAACTGCCTTTTTGCTGTCTCAGAAGCTTCTGTTATAGGTAGCATGAAAAAGTCACATCCAAAGATTTTTTTTTTCCTCTGACTAATTGATCATTCTAAAATAAATTTGTGTTAGACTCTACTGATGATAGCCTAATGATTCTAAAATGGTGTGATATTTCTTGCTACACAATCTCTGTATCCTCTGTATATTACAGGTATAGGGAGATAGAAAAGTAGAGAGTGGGTTAGTCAAATTTTTAGGTCTTGGTGCTTTGTGAATGTAGAAATGTGGGGAAAAAAGGTATTGATACAGTTCTCATCTATCCTGTTTTGTTATGGGTGTGCCTGATACTGTAAATCAAATTCGGTCTGAGACTGTAGTTTACACGCAACATCCTATAACTGTCTAGATTTATTTGGAAGCAAAATAACTTGTAGTTCAATGTGCCTTAGGCTGTACTCCGGTCATGACAGCATGTTAGAAAGATAGTAATCCATCCCATGTTCAGTAAAAACGCACAGCATTTTTTTTAAAATGTTCTTTAATTAGCTATGAATTGGCAATGGGAAATTTTCAGAAGAACTTCTCCCCACAATTTAAGATCTGTTTATGTTTGTGATACTGGAGTACACTAAGAGATTGTAAGTGAAATGGAGAATCATCCTTAATTTCTGTGTATCTCAGTATGTGACAAATTTTCATAAAAGTTTTAAAATGTTTTCTCAGGAGTTTCTAGTACCACAGCAGAGCCAATTAACTCAGGCACAGTATCCTGGTGAGATAGCATCATGCTGGATGTAGTGATAATTTGGGACTCTCTACAACATAATTTATTGTTCCTATTCCACCTAAGGCTTCTATAATAAGGCTAGTGTTCAACAAGTGATTCTTTTGTATTTTTTTCACATATTAAATTTGTAGGTTGGATTACTGGGAATTCAAATGTTGTGGACACATGATTCGGAAGAAGCTCTACAGAACGCTAAAGAGGACAGAAAAATCATGCAAGCAACCAATAGGAGATTTCTGGAGATTCTGAATATGTTGATTAGCCAGACCACACATGATCTTTCCAAGTTTGACAGAGTGAAATTTGAAACGCTTATTACCATTCATGTGCATCAGCGTGATATTTTTGATGATTTGGTAAAGTACAGACTTTGATTTCTGACAATTAAATGCATTTTTCTGTCATAATAATTTTTCTTATATGTGGTAACTAAGGTTACACATGTGTATGCATGTATTTGTAAGACAGAGATGTCCATAATCTCATCATGGTAAAAATAGTACATTTTTGCTTAAACTAGAATAAAATCCATCAGTTCTGTCATCTAAATATTTGCTCCAAATTTTTACACTTTTCTTAGAATATTTCAATTTTCCACTTCTTCCTACAGAATTGTTTTGATAGACAAAAACCTTTTAGTATGTCCTTTCTTTGAAAAACTGTTGTATTACTCTTACTTGCATAACTAAAAAAGTTGAGTCTGCTGAGGGTGTTGTAGCTTTGTCATCATAGATAATTTCCTCATGGCTTGTTACAGAATCTCAGTAGTTGGCACTAGGCTGCACTTCAGCTCCACCCATTCTAGAGTTACAGCAATGATAGCAACATCTTCCGTATCTCCTAGTTTCTTCTTTCTGCCTCTTCTACTCTCTCGGAGAGCAGGCTACTAGGATTCTCTTTCTGGTTCCTAAGGAGAATACATAGAAGACAAACAAACAAAAAACCCTAATAAAATCAACAGATAATGCCAATCCTATACCTGAACTTTTTAAACTGTGCTAAATTGTTTACATTCCTTTATTCTTTGAGGAATGCTATCCCTCAACACTACATCTCTCACATATTTTTACTGCTGATGACACAAGCTTATTAGATTCTACACAATTTGCCTTCCATGCCTCAGTCAGATCTTTCCTTCATCATGATCTTTGTTCCAATGTGTTTGGTGGATTTAGCAGTGTGTTGTTTGCTAATTTCACTTGGAGGGTGAGCTGCACTACCAAAGCAATTTAAGATTTATTTGATTGACACAGATGTTGTAAAGATCAGGTTAAGTGATCAGGACATTTTTTTAGTATCAGTTTAGCATACATCTGATCATATTATGTGATGCTTATATGTATTTCAGTTTACTTGCATAGGAACTTTAACCTGAGTAATCACTCATTATTCTCATACAAATAAGCATTTTATCACAGTTATCAAAGACAATAAACGTGGATACTCAGTTATAACATATACATTTATTTACTTTCTTTTAAGGTAAAAATGCACATCAAATCACCAACTGATTTTGAATGGTTAAAGCAGTCTAGATTCTACTTTAAAGAGGATTTCAATCAAGTCTTGGTATCCATTACAGATGTTGATTTTGTTTACCAAAATGAATTTCTAGGTTGCACTGATCGTCTGGTTATAACACCTCTTACAGACAGGTTAGAAAAACAATTATACATAATGACTACTTTTAATACATATAGTGTTTATTTAACATTCTGAATTAAGTCCTGTGTGGGCTAGGTCATTTGTGAAAATCTTCTCATACATTTGCTTAATCATGCTCTTTTAGAAAAGGTAAAATAGCTTCTCACTAATTTGTACATTTGGTAATTCCTAGAAAAGTTTTATCACTGCCCAGTCTTAAAAAAAAGATTTAGTAACAGAAATGAATGATTTTAAGGTTATATAGTAATGTATAGTTTAGCAGTATTTCTATACTGAAGAAAAGATTAGGTCAAATATTTCAAATTCTATAATAAGGGATTCTATAAAGATTTTGTGGCTGCCATTGTCTTTGAAAGCCTAAGACAACCAGTCAGTGTCTGTCGTCTTATTAGCACTGGGAAACAGTTTAGATTTGTCCATAAGAATCTAGATGTTGACAAAGTCCCACCTGTATGCACTCACTTGCCATTCTTCTGTAGCCAGGCAAGCAAACAACCATTAATTTAATTTCAAATGTGGCTTAACAATGAGAACTATTTTTCTTTTTTCCTCTTGGGAATTTCTTGGCTTCTTTTTTTGTCAAAATTCTTTCTCCATTTACTCCTTTCTTGAGATGTTACTTTTGACCAAATGAGAAAATAAAAGGCCAAAAGATACTTCACTTGCAAAAAGATCCCCTCAAGAACCAAAAATAACTTCCAACCTACAATCATTCACTTTGCTACCTATGTGGAGTATGTGTCTGTACAGCTTTTTGGACACCTTTATTTCTCCAGAAGAGGTAGGACTGCTATTGTGACAATATGGAAAGTTCAGTACATTTCTGCAGTGAACTGTACTGCCCTCAACAATCAAGTATTTTTGATGCAAAATGTTAAATTCTACCCCAAAATTTGCCTTGACCACAACAGAACTGTTCAAGTAAAACCTTTATGTCACTTTAAAGTTTCTTATTGGTTAGAAAACCTCAAGGTCCCTGCAGTGCAAGTTTGGCATAATATATTATAGTGATTTAAGCTAAACTGTAGGAACGAGTTAGTTATTAAACTCTGTTCAAATACGGATTAAATTCAGAAATACTTTAGTTAGAAATGCTTTCAGAGTATGTTGAGTTGATTTGATGGTGAAGATAGCCCATCATTTGAATAGGAACTTTGTCATTTAATTCCTTTAGCGTTACTCTTCCATACCCTACCTTGAATGAAAATCATAACTAAGACTCATATATAACTAAAACACTAGTCTAAACTTTTTAAGACTTAAAAAAAACCCCAAACCAGTAAAGCTTAGCATGTTTTTTTTCTTACAATTGTGAACATTTTTTACCCATAATTGTGGAAGGGGCCATATGTCCTTATTCTTTCAAACTTGAGGATTTAGACAAAGGTAACCTAACCTAATGAAATGTATACAGATTAAGATACTGGAGAATATGATGAGGTGGCAGAATTCAACAGCAGAACCTGCTCTTTATAGCTGCAAAAAGAGTTAATGACAATTAAATTCCTTTATGTGGTGTGCATTAATTTTTTATCTCGTCTAATATTCAGTTTGTAACAAACTAGATTAACACCAGATAAATTTTTTTGCTTTTATAAGTAATGTTTGAATGCTGTATTTTGTGACTTTTACCACTCTGAACTTCCTGCACTCATGGAAATCAATGGAACTACTTTATGAAGAAGTAATATTTCAACGTAAGAACCATAGGATCTATTGCATAACTCATTGTTATCTTATATCTATACATATATATCTTTCATATAATTTAATAAATTAATATGAATTAACATTTATAGGTGCTACATAACTTTAGCACAGGCTTTGGGAATGAACATGGGAGGAGCTCCAGCAGGACCAGCTGGAACTGGTAAAACGGAAACGACAAAAGACATGGGAAAGGCCCTGGGAAAATATGTGGTAGTCTTTAACTGCTCTGATCAAATGGACTTCAGAGGTTTGGGTAGGATTTTCAAAGGTAAGACTTCTTCATGTAGGATAGGAGAGACCTCCACAGGTCCTTTAGCAGGTGCAGTTAGAGCAGGTTGCTCAGGACCTTATTCATGTTGGGTTTTGAGTATCTCCAGGCATGGACGTTCCACAACACCTCTGGGCCCCTGTTCAAGTGTTTGACCATCCTCATGGTAACATTTTTTATACTTCCATTGACTTGGAATTTCCCACATTGAGACCTGTGTCCATTGGCTCTTCTTCTTCCACTGCACCTCTCAGAAGAGCCTGGCTCCAATTTCTCCGTGCCTGCTATTAGCTAGTTACGAACAACAATAGGCTTTCCCCTTAGCTTTCTCTTCAGGCTCAACAAATCATATTCTCTCAGCCTCTCCCTCTGTGTCATGTCCTCTAGCCACTGACCTTTATGGCAGCCATCTGCTGGATGCAGGTATATCAGTGTCTCTCAGAGGCAAACAATTATTTTCCTTAACCTGCTGGCTACACTCTTGCCCAATATGCAGCTGGCTTCCTTTGCTACAAGGGCATAATTCTGATTCATGCTCAAGTTAGTCGTTAAGCAGGACACCAAGTAATTTTCTGCAAAACTGCTTTGTGGCCAGTCAGCACCGAGCCTGTGCTGCTGCATGGAGTTATTCTGTTCCAGATAAAGGACTTGAACTTCATGAGGTTTCTGTCAGCTCATTTTTCAAAGTTATGGTATTGTATGTACTGAGAAGCAAGAGGTGAAACTATTATTTTTTTTTTTTATTTTTTTTTTAAGCAAGCAAATAATTGTGACATAAAAGTGCCTAAAGCTGTGGGTTTATAAACATATTGCCCCTTTGAATGTCAAGCTATTCAAATTTAAAAAAACCTTTGAGTACATGACAGAATCCCTTTAAAGTGATTTGGCCTTAACTGCATAACAATAATATACCCTGAATGCATTGGGTAAATTTTTCAGTTTTAAACAGCTATCTTTCAGTATATATGAAAGAAAACTACTGCCTACTGGTACTTTAATATCATTTGGAAAAAAATGCTGCTACAAATTTTCTCATAAAAAGTTGCTAAAGGAACAACAAGTCTCTTAGTTGCTACTAAATACATGTTACTTTTCCAAACTGAAAGTAGGCAACTGTGAAATTAATCCTTTATGAAAATATTATTGTTATTAATATAGTGCTTCTAGATTTCTCTTTCCATTTAATTTTCTTTCTCTGTCTTCCCCTCTTTCTTTCACAGACAGTTCACGCAGAGCATTGTCCACTATTTGCATGTTGTTATATCCTTTATCATTACATGAAAAACTTGTAGTTTAGTGTGGAGTTAAAATGGTGATGCTTATACATAGAGATACATACTCTAAGATTAATATTTTCTGTTTTGTGAGATTCAGAGTTTTATTTAAACCCCTAGTTAATGCAAAAAAAAATTCAATTTTTAATTTTAACCTTTATGATTTATAAGAGGCAAGTAAAAAGTAATTTAAAAGCATTGTGAAGGCTGGACCCAAATGAAAATAAAAAAGAGATTTTTTTGATGTAACATTTAGGGGTAGTCTTTTCTATCTTTAAGTTACTTATTTTTATTTTTTTAGATTAACAATACAGCTTTTTGCAAATAATTTAATTGCTGCTTTACAATAAAAGGCTATATTCTGAGAAAGATCTGGAAGAAAGATCTGCCAAATGCCCCAAGATATAAATTTTTTTTTTCTAATTTTTATTCACTTTTAAGCATTTTGTATAAATCAACTAATATTAATTCAGATTGATATGGAAATAGTCAGGTGGATAGGAGGAAGATAGGCCTTGGCCACAGGGCAACAAATAAAACTAATCTTATTTAATTATTTGAAGGAAAAGTCATCTAGTTCAGATATCTCAATTATGCATGAAGAACAACAGATAATAAATTCTTCTGTCCCTGTTTTAGGTCTTGCACAGTCTGGATCTTGGGGATGTTTTGATGAATTCAACCGAATTGAGTTGCCTGTCTTGTCAGTAGCAGCACAACAAATCTATATTATTTTAACAGCAAGAAAAGAAAGAAAAAAGCAGTTCATTTTTTCTGATGGAGACTGTGTAGATTTAAATCCAGAGTTTGGCATTTTCCTAACAATGGTAAATGTAGTAATAATTCCACAGAAGTGTCAAATTATACTATATACAAGTTAATTAAATGGCAAGGTGAAAATAACCGATTTTATTAATTGTGATGCTGTTGCTATAGAATTAGACTAAGCTACTGGAACGCATAATCAATCTGATTATTCATGAATTGCATGCCTTCATTTTTACTTTAAGATTATTGAAAAGGTTCATAATTATGTCCCTTCATTATTGTATTGCAATTCATTATGTAGACTGAGTTTGACCAAACTTCCAGAATTCTCTGTGCTCACCGAGAGGACTGAAACACTAATATGCCTTACTACCTTAGCTTGAAATGCTTTAACAGTATTAGTGGGAAATATACCGTAGGAAAAAAAAACCCACATTCACTTAAAGCAGGAGATATAGGAAAGACATTTTTCAAAGACATATGTCTTGTCTAACGGGTACTTTACATGGATATATAAAAAGAATTCTTCAAGCTGATTTACAGAAGACAAGCATGATGATTCTGGAATAAACCACCCTCCTTGTACTGTGGTGACAACAAGTCTTTTCAAAACCTGTGCAAAAAAATTATCAGATCCTTTTATTTATTGATACAGGATATGTCTAAACTGGTAAATACTATGCTGGATGTCAACTTTTGGTCTTCAGTGGCAACGGGGCCCATTCTGCTCTGTGTGTCAATCCTGGAATCAGTGCGGGCATTGTGACAGAACTGTGCTGCTTATATCATGAAGTTTTTATGGGTGGTATCTGAGATACATTGTTCCCTTTCTTATAATGACTACTTGTGAAAAAGACTTGCAGTATATATAGATCAAAGTTAGGTCCCACAACTGAATAGATAATCTGCACAAAAAAAGATATGCAAGGCAGTACATATAATTTTACACCAGTTACCAACCATTACTCAAGGGAGAAACACAAACTCCTGGATTTAGAATACTAACTTTCAGAGTATCTTGTCTTGTTGCCATAGGGTTCCTGAGCCTTCATAGCACTAATTCCTGTAATCTCATGGGCAGGGAATTTTGTAGTGTGTGTTTCCTAATGCTAAGGCAGATGGCTATCCAAGATGACTTTATGGGAAATTAAAATCTTCATCTACATGTTCGAGTGCAGGATAATAACTGAGGAGGTCATAAATATCTTTTGACTGCTTCTAATTTCTTAAATGTCACCTGTTTGATGTCAGAGTTATTCCTCATGTTTGCAGCAAGTTTCCAGAAATCTTCTATTAGTCAGACTTTCTGGGTGATTAAAATTTTCTTTCATATGATTCTGTTGTAAAGTTTTCATGTTTTAATTTTGTTGACTGTGTTATTTTAACTGTGTCATTACAAAATTTTCTCTGCGTATTCTTGAGCCATTATTAAAATCAGTTCTGTCACTAAAAGAGAATTTCTTGTATGATTCTTACTTCAATGGGTTAGGATTCACTCACAAACTATTAAACATTCAGTGAGATTCTGTACTTTAAGGCTAGCCTTTTAGACACAAGAAATAGAGAAGGGCATCCTAATATTTCTTCACTGTTGACTGCTTGTTACCCTTTTTTTTTTTTATTTTGGCTCTTGCTAAACACTGAATTTTTAATATGTTGCAAAACCTACCTCTTCTGCAAAATGGTAATGAAAACGTTATTCACATTGGGAATACACCAAAAGAAATCAACCAACTAGATTGTATTCCATGTAATTTTAAAATTCTGATTGCTGGCTTGTTTTGATGAAGAAATTCAGTTATTACTCTGGCAAGTATGCATAGGTTACTAAATTTGTAGTTGTGGTTGAAGTTTTTTCTTCACATTTTAATCATTAGTAGACAAGATTTCTAATTCTGAACAGATCTAGGTGTTTATGCATAAATTTACTTTTATTGAACAATAAAAAGGATGTTATTTTGACTGTTGTTAGTAATAATGCAGTATGTTTTCTTATATAGAATCCTGGATATGCTGGACGTCAAGAACTACCAGAAAATCTCAAAATTCAGTTTAGAACTGTTGCAATGATGGTTCCAGATAGACAGGTACAATTACTGACGGAACTGAAAGAAAAAGTGTATTTTACTTTGCTTACCTATCTTCAGAAAAACTAATGGAATTTCTAAAAAAATTGAATTTCAGATAATTATAAGAGTTAAGCTTGCAAGCTACGGATTTATTGATAATGTGATCTTGTCTCAGAAATTCTTTGTTCTTTATGAGCTTTGCGAGGAGCAGCTCACTAAGCAGGTAGTTATGTATTCCCTTCCTCTTTGTCTTCATATTTACACAATAAAACCCTTTAGGTTTTGGTTTGTGCAGATTGTTTTTGAAGCATGATTTTTATGTTTTTTAAAAATATTGAAGGAGTTTAAATATAATTCAAACAAATATCTCTACAAAATTTTTGAACAAATAACCATGTTAATTCATGTGTATGTAGTCACATACACACATTTGTTTTATTGTTAAAGAATGATAGTTTCTAGTTGCAAGTGCATGAGGTTCTCTGCCTAAACATGGCAGCCAGGTAAAAACTAACCTGATGATGTCATTTTTCTGTAAGAATTATCTAGGGCTAGAGAAAGTAGTTGGAAATTGGAAACCGCAGGAGGAAGGTCTCAAGTTTGATTTAAGTTGCCCTTCTCCCCATAGCACTGCTGTGATCTGAGGTCTTGGCTTTAAGCTGCCTCGGTTGGAAAGACTCAGTCTGGAATGGAACTATTATTTTTTTAGAATCCTGCTATAGAGAACTACAAAACAATTTCTATATGGCATTATAAATGGTGACGTCAATTAAATCTAAATTAGAAAAGAAAAAACCTTATAACCTCCCCCCCAAACTTCCCTGAAAATAGCCTTATTATCCGTCATTTATTTTAATAGAATAATTCCTAAACAACAGCAGCAATTCCTATTTTAGCTACCTTTTCCAGGCAGGGCAACTATACTATACAATATGCAAGTAAGGTTTGATATACTGATGAAATAAAGCTAGAGAACTTGTTACTGATGCATAAGCCTTTTTCCCCTCTCTAGGTCCATTATGACTTTGGTCTGAGGAATATCCTTTCAGTACTGAGGACTCTTGGATCTCAAAAGAGGGCCAGGCCAAATGAAAGTGAATTAAGTATTGTTATGAGAGGGCTAAGAGATATGAATCTTTCTAAGCTGGTAAGAATCTAATTTAATATTTTAGCACCATGTATAGGCAAGTCTACTAGATATTTCATGGGGTTTTGTAGAAGGTTAGAAAAAAATCTCAAACATCCTTTTCTTTAAAAATTGAAACATGATAATCATCATGTTATCATTAAACAGCAATGAGAGTTTATTAGACTTGGGAACAGTGCTCAGGGTGCAAAGGTTCAAATAGGTTAATAGTGGCTTAGCTGTGGGTATGACATTTTATGTACTGATGTGATTTAACCCCAGTTGGCAACTAAGCACCACACAGGCACTTGCTCACCCCCCCCACCAGTGGGAAGGGGGAGAGAATCAGAAAGGTAAAAGTGAGAAAAGTTGTGGGTTGAGATAAGAACAGTTTAATGATTGAAATAACATAAAATATTATAATAATAATAATAATAATAATAATAAGAAGAAGAAGGTAATGAAAAGGAAAACAACAAAAAGAGAGAGAAACAAAACCCTGGAAAAACCAGTGATGCAACGGCTCACCACCAGCCAACCGACGCCCAGCCAGGCCCTGAGCAGCGATTGCTGCCCTCCAGCCAACTGCCCCCAGTTTATATACTGAGCATGACATCACATGTTATGGAATATCCCTTTGGCCAGTTTGGGTCAGCTGTCCTGGCTGTGCCCCCTCCCAGCTTCTTGTGCACCTCCAGCCTTCTCAGTCGGTAGAGCATGGGAAGCTGAAAAGTCCTTGACTAGTGTAAGCACTGCTTAGCAACAACTGAAACATCGGTGTGTTATCAACATTATTCTCCTCCTAAATCCAACACACAGCACTATACCAACTACTAGGAGGAGAATTAACTCTATCCCAGCCGGAACCAGGACAACTGACTTGTGTGCAGACTGACTACTGTACCATAAATAAACTGAATAATTTGAGTATCCACTAAATTAGACTTTTAAAGATTTCTTTCCAGATCAGATGTTCTTTCCGATATATGCTGCAAGTGTTTTACAAATCAATTTTACAATAGATTCCAGTGTCTACTCAGTAGGAAATTTCTTTCAATTTTGAATTTATTTCTCATATGGCATATGGATGACATTTTCAAAATGCTATTTTTGTAGTGACCTGTCCTGTTGGCTGGCTGTGTTTATGAACATAAGGATCTGTATTTAGAAAATATATTCTTACTGTTTATTACTTTAAAATAGTGATTAATTTTGGTTTGAGAACATTCTTTGGACAACCATGTTTTAAAAACTTAATAACTTTTTTATTTCAGATAGATGAAGATGAGCCTTTGTTTCTCAGTCTTATCAACGGTCTCTTTCTGGGGTTACAGTTGGACAGTAGTACCTATGCTGAGCTTCAGGCTGCAATAGCTAATCAGGTTGAAGAGGCAGGATTGATTAACCATCCACCATGGAATCTTAAGCTTGTTCAGGTAAAACTTTTTTTTCCAAAACATTTTTAACAAACAGGAGTCAGAACAGCATGTTAGTAGCTAAACCACTGTCTCACTCAAGGACCTGTGCTTCTAATATGGGAAAAACCAAAGGTTGTGTGTACACCACATTAAGGAAAACCAATCCAAGGGACTTATTTTTTATTCCTTCAAATTATCCAGAAGAAAAAAAAACCAACCTTAAAGCATGCTGTTAACGCAGCCTTTCCCAGATAATGGTAGTGCATCCAAGTTATCTGAATGAAGCAGCAAGGTACCTAATGAGTCTCTGAACATGAGTTTTGTAGACTAGAGTAGGGACAGTAGGGCATAAGAAGGATTGGGAGGCATTTGAAGGCTAAAGCAGTAAATAAAGAGTGAGAAGAAACATAGCCAGGGCACAACTCCTGCTAAGGATGAGGAGAGAGCTAAAAGACCTTTATAAGGGCAAAGAAAAATATGAGGTATGTATGTAAAAATGAGTAAGAAAAGACATAGAATCTGAATGAGAGACTGTGTAGCAAAAAGTTGTTGCAAACAATGTTGTTTACATAAAGCAAAAAGTTGCTTAGTTTTGACAAAACACTTGGTTCTTGGCACTTGAGGAATAGAGAAATAGACACCATGCACTGGCACCTTGCCAGGAGTGTAGTATGTTTACCTTGTGTTGCAATCTCTTTTGATCTGGAGTGTCCGGCTGAAAAGCAAAAGAGAGAAAATTGTTAAGGTGTTGCAAGAAATTATTTTGACTTCAGAATATTTGTAAGACATTACGTTTAGTAAACTAATGATTTAATGATTAAACTGTAATTTTGGATTATGGTAATTTGTGTCCAGTGTGGGATAATCTTTATGATGTGTTGTTGATTAATGAATATGAAAAAAGGTGCTTAAATGGCTTTTTGGACCTGTACTCCAACATAACATTTAAATGGCTGACAGTTGTATTTCTGACATGCAATCGTGTTTGAAACTAACTTTGAATTTATTATTAAAGACAGTTAACTCATGTTCTGATGGTGTTTATGCCAACACACTTCTCTATACACATCCTTCTTTAAAGAGCAAACTTAACAAATGCATCAGAGTAACAACTCAAGAAATAAATACGTAGACAATCACTAATCAATTATAAATTGACAAGCTAGAAAGGTAACTAGAGCATTGTTGCTCTTTTGTCTTTTTGTTCTACTCTTTTTTGAGAACACACTTTAATTATTGATTATAATGATGTTTTTAAACATTATGACTTTGTTGGTTTCCTGTGTTCTCTGATTCTTTGTTTTTTCTGCATGCAGGCAACAAGGTGTGAACGCTTTTTCTTGTAATACCATGCTTTGAACAGTGATCAGCTTTACTTTATTGGCTATATTACTCATTAAGCTTGAGCTTGTAGCCTTAATTAATGAAATTTATTATTTTTTTTTTAATTCCATTAATTGATGAAATTGAATTTTGCTTTGTAAAATTTGTCAGCCAGAGAAGAATTATCCTGTGTTCTAATTTTCATATTTTACTTATCCCTACATTTTGGATAATTGTTAGACTCTGTTAATGGTTAAGACTAATAACCTTTACCATTTCTAATGGCTGAAAACTATTTTGCTCTAGAAGCATTTATTTGTAATTGTGCTGATTGCCAAGATGAGAGTATAACTACAACAACTGACACTTAAGAACTTTTTACCCTGTGGAAATATGTTTGCATCTTCTTGAAATACAACCTCAGAATAGAGACTTTCTGAAACTACAGGCCTTGAAGTGCTAGGCTTGTTCATTGGCTGTACAGTCTTAAATTAGAAACTACATCATTGGCTCTTATGAACTAAGTGTCTTAAAAGAAACTAGATGTAAACCAAGAAAAGCACTCTGACCTTTGTGCTTATTACCAGATTTCTGAAAATTTCCAAACTTGTCTAGCTTAAAAAACAAAACTGCCATGTGATTTGTTGAATAAGAGCAAAAGATACAATGCATTACAGTATTCTACAAAGTGCAACGTTCTGCCTTATATTACTTCACAGCAACTAAAATATCATGTCTCTGTCATCAAACCAGAGGTGTATTTATGGCTCTGCTCAGGCTCCACCTAATTTACAGAAGGTTTTGCTCCACATTCTGCAGGCTGGATCTATATTGTCCTTCACACAGCTTCACACTGATGATCAGCAGAATTTTTGCATGGGAGAAAACACTTTTAACCATCCTGCTTAAAGTCACGTTCACCGTTTTATTCACGGCTTAGTATTTCTGGTTGTCAAACTGGTCATAGGAAGATTGCTTGTGCCCTAACAAATTCCATCTTCCACTGGGAATAAGAAGTTTGACATTTTCAAGTTCACGGTGGACTTGATCTTAGTTTAGATTTGTGGTGCCTGTAGATCTTCCTCCTGGACTGATACAAGCCTTTATTCAGCTTGCAAAGGAAGCAGCTATATATGCTTCTCCTTACAAGGTTCTGTCATCCACGAGGACTATCACATTTTTGTTCCTTTCAGTTGCTCCAAAAGGAGATACTTGTCTAGGCAGATCCTGCCACTTCCATAGCAAACCTAAAGCTAATATTAAAAGAAAAATAGAAAATTCAATAAAGAATTGTCCTGAACCTAACCCCATCCGCAATCCTGTAGGAAGTGCGGTCCCTATGTTTATTTCATATACTCGGGTATTTTAGCACTGTAGTGATTAGTCATTCTTCTGTTGCATTAATGTTTTGCTACTATTCATTTTTCCTTTTGAATAATATAGAAAAAGCTTTTTAAAATCTGGTAAAATTATTTTCAGTTGCTTTGAAAAGTTTAGGCAAGATTTAGTTCTATAAACTGTTTTATAGTAAACTTGCTTAGTGCTTAGAAGATTAGTATGTGAAGGTATGTACTATTCCACAAAACACTAAAAATCAGCAAACCCATGCTGATTTCAATTCTGAGCATATAATTTGTATGTCTAATACAGTTATAGTCACTGACTATCAAACGTATTAAATGCAAGCAAAAATCTTCCAAAAGCATATATTTCTTAAAGTATTCTGATTTTTTTAATAGTTGTATGAAACTTCTCTAGTACGTCATGGATTGATGACACTTGGACCTAGTGGATCTGGAAAAACAATGGTCATCACTATATTAATGAGAGCACTGACAGAATGTGGCCAGCCTCATAGAGAAATGCGTATGAACCCCAAAGCTATTACTGCTCCTCAAATGTTTGGAAAACTAGATGCTGCAACTAATGATTGGACAGATGGAATCTTTTCTACACTGTGGAGGAAAACACTGAAAGCTAAAAAGGGTATGTAAATGCTTTGTGTGTGGAATCATAAAAATACCTCTTGAATGATATGTTGAAAAAAGCGTCTTGAATTTGAAAATGTGGTGAAGTTCCCTCTCCCTATGGAGAACATAAATGAGGTTACAGTTCACTTCTCAAGAAAGGGCAATAGTTTAAAAATTTATTATTTCAGTAGTATATCTACATTAAAAAATTGTTTGTTTCCTTACCTTCAGTTCTACAGTGCAGATGTGTTATTTGGAAGCTCATAAATTATAATTTAGATTTACTTGTACTAATTGCACTAGCTTTAAAATAATGGTTTTTTTCTGTGGTTTTTCATACATTGATTACCCATGTTTATATCTCAGTATTTTAGGATTGGAATAATGAAATTCCTTTTCACAGTAATTCACTTGTATCTGAAAAAATAAAAATATTTATGTTAAAGAAAGGGAATTCTTCTAGGGAACCTTCCTAGAAGGTTGTTCTTTTTAAAAGAAAGTTGAATTTTCTATATTTTCTCTATTGGAATTTTTCTATATTCAAAACAAAGCCAGAATTTTAAAATTTGATTGCCAAAGTTTAGGCATTTTCATCTATATTTATGTTTCAAAATAAAAGAAAAACAATTAGATTTTCAGAATTGATGCGTGATGTTAGTTTTCATTAACTTAAACGGGATCTGTGAATATTCAACGCCTTTTTTTTGGTTGCCCAAAGAACCCTTATTTTAGCAACAAAATGCTAAATTCCCCATCCCTCCTGTGCTGCTCAGGCCAGGGAGTGGCGGGGAGGAAAGAGGAAGAGTTAGATAATGTTGGGAAGGAAGAAGTTGAGTCTGGAGAAAGAAAAGGGGGTGTTGGAAATATGTTTAGTTGTCTTTGTTTCTCATCATCCAAGTCTATGTTAATTGGCAATAAATTAATTTTCCCCAAGTCGAGTCTGTTCTGCCCGTGACAGTAGTTGGTAAGTGATCTCCCTGTCTTTACCTCAACCCAGAATCATTTTCACATTATTTTCTCCCTCTTTCCTGTTGAGGAGGGGGAGTGAGAGTGGCGTGGTATCTCTGACAGCCAGCCAAAATAATCTCACCACAGATGTTCAACATTATAAGGATATACTTGTGCCCCCATTTGCTACTAATTGTTTCAAAAATAGTTCCTTAACTAAGTATGCAATTTATACAGTAATGAGCATCCATGGAGATGGCAGAAATTACAATAAATAAAATACATTTTTATACATTATTTAAGTTCTAAACCATCTTTTGTAAACTGATTTTCTTGCTCTTTCAGCATGGTGATATGAACTATATCTCTTTTGATTATTTTTCCAGGGGAAAATGTGTTTCTGATTTTAGATGGTCCTGTAGATGCAATCTGGATTGAGAATCTAAATTCAGTTTTGGATGATAACAAGACCCTCACTCTAGCAAATGGAGATCGAATTCCTATGTCTCCTACATGTAAACTGTTATTTGAGGTCCACAACATTGAGAATGCCTCTCCAGCAACAGTTTCTCGAATGGGTATGGTCTACATCAGTTCTTCTGCACTCAGCTGGAGACCAATATTGCAAGTAAGATTATTATTTCTGGCTACTCCTAACTTTACCTTATTATACATTTTATACAGAAAAATATTGTGGGTGTTTTTCAGGCATGGCTGAAAAAACGTTCTTCTCAAGAAGCTGAAGTTTTACAAAGTTTGTATGATAGAATCTTTGAACCAGCATATACATATATGAAGCTAAACCTTAATCCAAAAATGGAGCTTCTGGAATGTAACTACATTATGCAGGTAAAACAGATACTGTGCTAAGTCTGTGTGAATTGACTGACTATAGTAAGCGTGCAGAAATAGCAAAGAGAACATTTGATAGCAATAAAATTTAATTTGAAAATATTATTTCCTAACAAAGAAAACCTCAAACTCAATATTTGTTTCTTAAGCAATATAAGAGGAACTGTTAGAGATGTGCAGAAGAAAACTCTACTTCTTTTTATCGCTTCATATGTAGGCTAGTCTTCTGTTGATTGGGATTTGCAGGCTTCAGTAAGTTTTCAGAAGCATATGTTTAGTAAGCTAGTGGCCTCACTCCAGTTCTTTTAATACCAAACAAATTGTGGTAAGGGTCAGTCTAACCCTACTGGTAGTGTCAGCAGAGAGAATGAAGAATAATTCTAATTATCTTTTTGTCTCCAGATGTAATAGCTGTGATTCTGTCAGTCTGCTCTTCCAAGGTCAATGTAGTAATTTTTGCCTGTTCCTTCTTATCAACTGGAATTCTACCTTGAGTGGAGTCCAAAATTTATCAGTGATTTATTAATAATAAAATTATGTGTTTGGCAGATTTTGCAAGACTGTCAGTCCTATACTATATGTCTTCAGCTGATTTGTTTATGAGTCTGTTGTCATCTGCAGATTCTAAGTCTCCAGACTTTCCATTTGTCCATGTAATCCCAGTTTTATATTGACACTCTCATAACAAATTCAGTAGTGCCTTTGAGTAAGAGGGTAGGCAAGATAATATTTTGGATAACACTTCAATTTAATAGTAAACTAGTCAATTTGCACCCAGTATCTCTTTACTGTTCATTAGGGATTTAGCTTCAGATTTTCAACAGTTTGAAGTATTTTGCTGCAAATTAATAGCCACAGTAAATGCTGCAAAGATTAACTGCGCAGTATCAAATGGAATTAGGATATCTATAGAATTGAAGTCCACAGCAGAAACTATGTAACTTGCCAATTTATGATGACAAACAAGATGGATGTGCTATGCACAAAATTTTTAGAGAGAGAGAATATTTTTTTCTTCTACATTTGTTTGTTATCTGTGAAACCTCTGACTGAATTGATGTTGTCTTCATGGAAGACTTTTCCTGGGACTAGAAGTTTCTACATTATTTTTGATTAGGGCTTGTTAGGAAGTGTGAGCAAGTCAGTGTTCTACTCATACTGCTTGGTCAGGGAAACATTTCCCTGATTTAACCTGTATTGAATGTTTCTTCCTGTGAATGAAAATCTCTAGTAAGTTTCTGTCACAGGTGCAACAGAGTAAATAACCCTTAGTGGATCTCCATGCTGGGGTTTACTTAAGAACCAATGAGATCAGAGCTTTTACCCTACTTCATAATTTCACAGATTCACTTCCTCACTTGCTTCTCCCCTGCAGTGTTACATTCACTTAGTCTTGATTTCTCTTCCCAGCAAGGATTTCATTCTTGCTGCGGGAAGGTAGGGCAAAAAGTTGGTCATGTTGGTTTCTGTGCTGTGCAGCCGCTTGCAGCTACCAGGAGTGGGCATTACTTGACAAGTTTTCTTGGCATCATCCAGCATTTGTCTACATGCATCTCTCTGATCTCCAGGATCTTCCCCCATTTCCAGGATCTTACCTCCAACCAGGATCTTGACCTCCTTCTTTCTGGGCACCTTCTTTTGGGGACCCTTGTTTTCCGCACCACCTCTCCTTTCCAGAACCTTAGAGATCCCTGTTTTGCCATAAATGGTCTATGTGCAGAAGCACTGTACCTTATCAGCCTCCTGACTGATGGTTCTGTCTTACATCTCTTTATTAATTGTGGGATTCAGGACGTGCTGCTTTTGTTTAGGTCAGGTGTTTTCAAAATTTACAACCATCTCAAACCAGTTGCATCTAGCAGACAGCAGACTTGTACTTGAGTTCTAAAGTTCAGTTTTGGATGTTCACGCACACATGCACATGTACCATGTTATCTGCCATTTATTAGCATTCACAATTTAAGCTGTTTTTTCATCTACAACAGCTTCATAATGGTTTTATACAAAAAGTGGTCTCACCTTTGCTTTCCTCCTTGTAATTTCCACTGACTTTCTAACTGTATATATTATAGTATTGCTCCTGGATGATTTTTTTCCTGCTGTTTTTACTTATAAGTTTTTCTTTTAGCTGTTTACCATCCTCTGGCCCATCTCATTAGGTGGACAAATATAATTTATTTTAGGAGATTCAACACAGTTTTTGACTAGGGTTATCCTGCCTTTCAAGCCTACTGGAAAAGTCAATAAACTTGTAGCTAAAGGAGGTCTGATTGATATGGTCTCCATGAAGGAACAAAGCTGTTTGACAAAGTTCTTTACCAGGGATTTACATGGAAGCTAAGCAGTCATAGCAGAAGATAGGAGATTCATTTCTAGATAAATAACTGATTAGAAGATAGGAAATGTGTGATTGGAGTATCAGTTCTTAGGAAGGACAGAGGTTACCACTGATCCTGAGGTACCTTTGCTGGGACCAATGCTGCTCAAAATCTTCATAAACAATTTGGAAAAGTTTTAGGTGAAGAAGTTTACTGATGATACTAAATTATTCAGGGTAGTAAGGACAAAACAGCTAACCATGAAGAACTGTAGGCAGACTTTATGAGACTGAATAAATAGGTAATAAAATGGCAAATGAAATTCAGTGAAGATAAGCACGAAGGGGTTCACACAGGGAAAAAACAAACTGTTCGATGCCATGAATAGCAGACCTACAGAATATCTTGCCAAAGGGTGTTATAGGTGATAAAAGTTTATGTAGGTTCAAGACCAGTCTTGATATTTTCAGGGCAGAAAAACCCATAGAAGATTACTAAACCCAGAAAAAGTGTATTTGGTTCAGAAAGCCCCAAGCTGAAGAGCGTACCAGCAGAAAGTACCACCCCCTACCCTCCAGTAGCACCACAAGCCAAGAGAATTTTTTCTTTGTTTTTACTCTTCTCTAAGTGTCCACTTTTGGTCACTATTGCAGATGAGATGCTGGGCAAGCTGAAGTTTTCAACTGATTTGTTGCAACCATTTGTGTGTTTTTATAAGTCAGTTTATTTTTTTCCTGTTTTCTTTCTCCAAAAACTTGTTACAGAATATTGCTAAGACACAGAGCATCATGGGAAATTTTGTACTCGAGCTTGTATTTGAGGGAACAAAAAAATTTTGTTCAGATAAACTGGGACACAGCCAGTCCTGGAAATAATTAGATAGATCGATTGTCTTCCAAAGAAAAGAAGTGACATTATTTTAACATTATGAAGTGTAATTAATACTGATTAATCATTTTTTAAACTAAATGATAAAGTAATCAAAAGTATTCTAACTATTTAGGTTTTTTAGGCTGCATTAAAACTATATAGCACTGCATTACTTCCCACTTCAAGTATGAGATCCAAGACAGCGTAAAGAATACTAATTCCAAGAGTTGATTGACAATCTGCTTCACTGTTAAAAAGACATATTTTGAAACAATGTGTTTGACACTGCCTTGTATAGAAAAGGAATATGAGTGATGTTATCTAAGCCAGTCAAACGTCTGGCTTCATGAGTGACATCACAGAATTGTAGGTAGCAAGTTACTAGATTTCTGGAATCTGGAATCTAGTTCCTTAGAAGAGTGAAGCAATCATAAAATAGGATATTTTAATCTATTTTTTTAAACAGAAAATAGAAGTTAATGTGATAGATGCATTAATTGACCATAATTAAGATAAATACATTAGACACTGAAAATTCTTCCATGCTTAAAGATGGAAAGAAATGGCTAGGCCCCACCTACTTTTGGAGTTCTGAATATCCCACCAGATATTATAAAATCCCTTAAAAAGCAGTTCTGTTGCCCCAGCTCTTAAATGACATTTATTATATAGGTATAATTTAAAAGGATAGTTGATAATCAAATTACTTAAGTAATTTTGAAAAATTTACCCAGTTTTATATAGATATCTAACCTGTTTTCTGGGGTTTGTAGTTCTGAATTTTATGTTATTCTTTGGTAACCTGTATTGGTTTTCAAATGATGATTTAAAGTTTGAATACATATAAATAATGCATGTGCATATATGTTTAAAAATAAAAAGTGATTATGTAATACTAATGCATAATATTTTAAAATATTTTCAGTCTATTAGTCTTCTGGAGGGTTTGATTCCATCGAAGGAAGAAGGTGGTTTATCAACTATATTTCATCTGCATAAATTGTTCTGCTTTGCAATGATGTGGAGTTTAGGTGCCCTTCTGGAGCTGGACAGTAGAGATAAACTTGAAGCCTTCATTAGAGCTCATGATAACAAATTAGACTTACCAGAAATCTCCGCTGGCACCAGTCAAACGATGTATGAGTTTTACGTTACTGATTACGGTAAGAAAAAGCACTTTCTTTTTTATACTGGCATTTTAAAACTGAGTATAGCTTCTTTGAAATTTACAATTACTCCTTTAGTCCTTATTATACAGTCATATGAGCAGAGATTTTTGATGACAGTATAGTAGTAACACAGCTTCTGTATGCAGTGCCTCTGTGGAGGGGAGAAGTCAGAAACAAGGGATAGAGTGCTCATTGGTAACGTTTTCTTATTTCTTTTGTTTTTAATTTCATTCTTACAGATTTCTATTAGCTTAACCAGCCTACAGTTTTTAGTTAATTTATGCTTAGGCTGGTTTAGTCTAAATTAATATTAATTTTATACTTAATTTCCTCACAGCTAGTATTTTTTATATATTAAAAAATATAATCTGATTTTAATTCCACTTAATAATAATTATTTATCCATGTCTGATAATCAGTAATAAATCTTACAGTTTATAAATGGTAAGAATAGTGTGATATTTTGAATATTATGAATATTGATATTTTGAATAGTGTGATATTTTCCTCAAGGACTTTATAGTTTAAATAACACATACACAACCAATTTCACAAAGAACTTACTGTTCTTTTAGAGTATATTCTCACATGAATACATTTATTTCTCTTGTATCCAAATTCAGATTTTTTTTTGCCAGCAATGTTGATTTAGTGTACACATACACAATCCATATTCTCATGTTCTATAATTTTTCACCAGCAGTGTGAGAATGAGTTTCTAGGTAAACATTCTTTTGGGTTTTTTATTTAGATAGCTATATATAAATTTAAGAAATATGTTTGTATTTAGTAGAATTGTAGACTAATTAGAGATCATGACTAAGTATGTCTTTTGTTAGATGCATTTTACCTAGATTTGAGAAAGTTTATCCCTTTTTACACTTTGTAGTACTTCACCCATGCATCTAGGATTTTTTTTTTTTTGCACTAACAAAATGTTGAACATGATCAAAATATTGTGAGATGTTTTCCTCTTTTTTTGTCATTACAGGTGACTGGGAGCACTGGAATAAAAGAGTTCAGGAGTATGTTTATCCAACAGATAATGTCCCAGACTACGCATCTATTCTGGTTCCAAATGTTGACAATGCCAGAACTCAGTTTTTGATAAACACAATTGCAAAACAACAGAAAGTAAGTACAGGATTACTTATTTAAGTATACGCCTACTATATGAAATAAATAGAAACCTACTTATAACGTAACTGGGAGATGCAATCATTCTTCATATTCTCTGTCTCTAGTCACTGCTTGCCAGGAGCATCATTATTTGCATATTGCTCTATTTTTATTTTCTTAACGTGAATCCTCTATACTTATTTCTGTGCATGGGCAAAATGTTTAAAATATCCTTTTTATAAAATAATTTTTTGTCATAAAAGTTTAACTCCAACAACCTATCATTTTTCTCAGAAAAAGACATAAAACCTTGTTTTTAATTTTACACCATATTAATTTTTCTGATTTGTGCTTGAATAGGGAAAAAAGTAAAATAAATTTCACAAGGCAGTTCACTAAAAATCTGAAATTCCTAGCCTTTACTCTTTTTTTTTTTTTCTCTCATTAGGAAAGCTGTAGTTAATAGCAGTAGTCACAGCTATAGAAAAGGAGAGAACACTCCTCATACAGCTTTAACCCATAGGACCAACCTGGTATCATGGCTTTTGGCTCAGGCCACATTAAACAATAGTTATTAAAACATATATAGGCCTATTTTCAAACAGAGGAAGATCTGAAAAATACATATTTTACTGTAGCACAATGCTCTTAATAACCCTAGCAACTTCCTATGGAAATCTGTGTCAGCTTGTGAAATGTAAGTAAATGTACACCCTTCTTAGTAGCTGGAGCCAATATTAGAAATACCGTAAGTGCATGAGCCAGTGCTAGAACCTGTTTTTTTCTGTAAAACTCTGGGATTTGGACAGAAAACCTGTTGATTGGGTTTGATGAAACTGTTCCAGAGGTCATAATGTGGCTGTGCCTTTGATGTATCTAACACTAATTATGAAAACATGCAAAATCTTTGTATTTGGAAACAAATTATTAATCTTTGTACATTAATGCCTTGGGAGATATTGATTATATTTCCAGGTACATTCTTTTGGCCATCATTGCTATAGAAATAACAAGCACTGAAATCTTCCAAAAAGACTCTCTGAAACCTGGCATTTTCCACAATTCAGTGTTTCTGTGGTATATGGTTTAAATCTTCCTCTCCTCACTTGAAAAGTTACAGCATTCAGTGTGCAATAGGACTTGTCTGTGCTTCCCTGTTGAGCAGAATATTCCCCTCCATGGAAGCAGTCAGCTTGCTTTGTTTTCAAGCATTTTTTATTTGGTAAGGTTTGATTTAATCACGTATTGAACTGTGATAGAGAAATATCTTCTCCCCCCTCTTCCCTGGATCAGATCACAGCAGCATGAACTTTCTTTCCAGCTCCAGCTAAATTACATGTACTAGATGAAACCAAAGTGGTGTTTTACAGATCTGACTTCACTTGTTGGTTCTGCGAGTTTATTACTATCATCTGTGTTACCATGGTTAATTGATCACTCAGATGTTCAAAAACAGGGTGAAGAATGATACCATGTGGTATCATTGTGGCTATCTGTTGGAGAGCATTAATTTAAAGCAGGAGCAAGTCAGTCAGGAGTACTTGAGCATTTCAACTCTGCATTATCAACTTCAGTGCTCACAATCATAAATAAATACATACTCCCTGTTGCAAACTGATTAAATTCTTTTCATGGAGTGATATAATAATGAAGATAATACCATCTGTCAAAAACATAAGTAGGATGAAAATCTGAGCTAGAAAAAAACGTGGAGGATTCTTACATGTCTGAAAAAAGAGTAGGGTTCTTATCTAGCTCACTTTCATGAGATAAAACAGGAGATTTCTATTATAAAAGGTTTAAGAGAAATGAAAGAAGTATTAATCCTTTGGTTCAGCAACTTTCTGATTTAGATTCAGATTTTACCAGGATAAGAAGGAAACCAGGAAAGACTTTCTTCTTTCTCAACACATTTATTGCTTTTTTTTTTCTCCAGGGAAATGACACTTAGTGTACAGATTAACCAGAAAATAAGTTATATAGTTTTATATATTTTAATAGGCAATACTAAGAGAAAGCAGAAATAAAATACTTGCTATCAAAATATCTTGAAACAAGAATTTTCTGCACCTTTAATTTGAATAAACCATCGGAGAGGAGTAAAAAGGCTTTGAGAAATAGAAATATAGTGAGGCATACATTAAGATAGTATGAGTTGTAAGAGCCAAAAGTGCCATATTAGAAGCATCAAATGCTGCTGTTGTAAATACTGCAGTGATAAGGAGACAGAATAATTATATTCTCATCAAAAGGAAGTTTGTTTCCAATAATAAAACAATCAGTAAGGAGAAACAAATTTTGGGAAAAATTCTAAGATTTCCTGACTGTTCTGTGAACATCCTTGGCCAAAATCTGCTTTGTCAAAGCTTGATGTCCTGACTACAAGGTGATTTAAAGGCCCTATGCAAGAGCAATTATCTTGTTGTTAAAAGTATTCTGAAAAAAATGCTTTGGTTTCATATTCCTCCATGGATGTTTAGAGAAAGAATCAAGCATGTCCATGACAGGCAGTCGATGAAATTCAGGACAAAAAGCACAGGTCAAGTTTGGTTCCAATTCTGAAAAACATACTGCTGTCAGAGGACACATGGACTCTTTAAGGATCCAGAAGGCCTTGCAAAGTCAGTTTATGTCAGCATAATTAGGCTGGGGAACTTGCGTAACAGACTTAAAATTCCAGTTTAGGAGAAGAGAAGGTGTGGATAGGAACCAATGTTCCTTAAAGGAAGGATGGTGTTCTCTTGAGGAAAGTTGAAGAATAATTGCTGACTTTGAAAACAGATTTTCCTTTGTTGCTATTAAGTAGGAGTAGTTCTCAGTTCCTTTTGTGCATGGAATGTAAAACACATTTCAGAGTTTCACTGGTAAATTGCTTCCTCTCTTACCAGTTTCACTGGCCTGTCTAAGAGGGGCCATGAGCAGTACAATAGTCACTGCAATCAATTTTATGAATCTCCTCACACATTCAGCTTAGAGAAAAAGATTGGATCAGGTATTTTAGACAATATACAGAAATATAAGAGGAGCTTCAAAAAGGACTTCATTTCCAGAGGTGGAAAGCAACAGTCTTTTCCATCTAATTGTTTCCTACCTTTACTAACATTTATCACAAAGCCATAGATATTTCTGGGTCAGTTAAGACTTCTGTACACAGTTCAGTATCTGTTATTCTTAGTTGTAATTATCATTACATCATGTCTCTACAGACCGTTAGAGTATCTCTTTTAGTAATATGCTTGAGAGGGGTTATAACTAAATCTAATCTATACTGTGTTGTTGCTTTAAGGACAGTACTGGGAAGAAGGAACTATCCTTCTTATACAAGCGTGTCACAAAGGATACCTATAGCATAAGCAAATAATAGAAATTTTGTATTAAAATTAGATGTCAGAGACTACTTTCCATGATAAAGAAAGCCTTCTTAGGGTCATCCGCTACAAGAGACTGCTGCAATGAACATGTTAGAAAGTGGAAGAGGTTAGGCAACTGGAAGAAAAACCTCTAGTACATTCTCACTTCGTCCTTTCTCTTTTGACTCTAAATAATTTGTCTTGGAGAATCTGGGTGGGATGAAAAATACATACTGGGACACGGCATATGGAGACACAGGAAAAACATACCAGAATAATACATCATTCAAAAGTAGACACAGAAAGTATCCCATTCTCCAAAATAGGTCTGTTAGGTGTATTTAATTATAAGTTTTGATATAAATATGTGATTTAAATATCTGTTACAGGCGGTTTTGCTCACAGGAGAACAGGGGACTGCAAAGACAGTCATGATTAAGGCATATGTGAAGAAATATGACCCGGAAGAGCATTTGTCAAAATGTTTAAACTTTTCATCTGCCACAGAACCATTTATGTTTCAGGTAAAAATACAGATTTTAAGCAATTCTTGCATATCATTTCCTTGCTAAGTATTTAAAGTGCATTTATTTCTGATACTAAAAGCAGTGAATTAGAAATAAAGTCTAAAGGATCTTTTTCCTCTAAGTCACTTAAACACTTCAGAAAATTCCATAAAAAACAATTTTTGCAGATCAGAATAAAATATAGTCACTCACATAGAGATACATATATTCATGATTGCTGTGTGCTTTTTCATTATGGAATTCTAAGAATCCATTTTTTGCTGAAGACTTTTCATTTTAGATTAATGAAAATTTTTGGTTATATTTCTTCAGTGCTTTCCTGATTCTTTAGTTTATAACTACAATTTTTATTTTTGTTAAATAAAAAGCAGATTTAAACTTATCCTCTTATTTTTCCTCAGCTCTGGAGTGACTACAGCATCAGAAATCCAATCTTTAAGGTCCTCTAGCATCGCAACTTTGTAGAGATCTCCCTTTCCCAATATAACTGCTAAAAATCCATATAAATAGAAACAAATACTACAGATAGTTTTTTTAAGTGATTGAAAGGATGATTTATACCACTGTGCTATGATTCAATACTACTAATTTGCTAGGGTATGATCCTGTAAGTTGAATTAGCTTCATTACCTCTTCAAAGCAATGAATTCATGGTGATAATCCACCAGTAGGATAAAGTAATAATATTTGAATATTTCTCAATTGAAAAGTCTGCTCATGGAGCAGGTCTTACAAACTCCATCCCAAAATCAAGCATCTTTTTTAAGAAGCTAATGTAAATGTTATTAAGAAAATGGTGAAAATTAATGGCTTAAACATCTATTTTTTTAAATTCCAAACTCGCAGAATATCTGCTGAGCTTTTCTGTTATGCATAAGATCTCTGGCCATGGTTTATATCAAACTGTGAGAGGGAATAAGGCAGGCATCCTTTCATGCATGCAAGTTCAATTGAACAGTCAGTATCTCTGTCTCAGTGTGCTCTGCTTAGTGTATTATGGGTCCCTAGAACATTACTTTCTTGAAGACAAAACCCAGACTTCCTCGCCTCTGGTACAACGAGTCTGTGAAAGGATCTTTTTGTGTCTTGTCTCTGCTACAGTCCTGTAGTACCTCAGAAGATATGCTTGCTCTTTGGTGACTTCATGATAATAATTGGCTTCAATGCTAATAATGAAATAATAATTTCCAAGTTTGAAAACTTTTAAAAAACTTCTCTGGTAGCCAGAGGTGGGTTGCAGGACATAGTCCTAAGGCCAGGGAATTGCATAGGAATGAATGTGATAAACAGAAGAATAGGGTTCCTTAATGATGAATCAGAGATGAAACTACTAACAAAAAGAGGAAATCACTGGATAAGTGCTGTAGCAGAAAACAATAAGTAACACATTTTTTAACAATACATTTTAAATATTGTTGCTTTAGATACAAAACAAGAACTTTTTTTTTAATTTTTAGAGGACAATAGAGAGTTATGTGGACAAACGCATTGGAAGTACTTATGGACCTCCTGGAGGCAGAAAAATGACTGTTTTTATTGATGATATCAATATGCCATTTATCAATGAATGGGGAGATCAGGTAAACTGGTTTTTAACAAATACGACATTCTCAAATTGTTGCGCTTTATTTTTATGTGCATGGGAATCAGTGGACTTCCTCAATATTTTAATTAACTGTTAATTATTGGAAATGCTTTCTGATTATGGTACATTGATGAAGAAAAGAAGAGAGAAAATTAGGTTTACTGACGAGACATATAGGACAATGGTGTCATATCTTACATTATCTCCACTTTCTCATATTTTTGTAAGACTAAATAAAAAGCATCACTGTACTAAAGTACCATATTATTAAGTTCAAGATTGATGTTAATTTGAGAGCACCAGTAAACAAACTTTCTGCAAAACGGAAGCACGATACCTTGAAGAAAGTAATAAAGGTGTCCAAAGTCAAGGGTAACACATTGGCTTGCAAACTGGATTAAAGATTTTTGGCTTTTGATGAGCCCATCTACAACTTGAGTGTGTAACATTCATAAGCCTATACAGACCCAAAATCAGGCAAAATTGTCTCACAGTTCCTTCCCATAGTAGGTCTGAAGTATTTCCTGCCCAGGATGCTAGGTCTTCTGGAATGTCTATTTTAACATAAAGACCAAGTATGCTTACCATTCCTTTTTTTATTTGCTCAGAGTAAATAACAAATGAGAAACCTGGGACCTCTGTGCACTTTTGAATGCTCAGGCTGTCTGGCTCCTGTGAGGCTCACAGTTTGGTTTAAGGCTGCTCATAGCATTGAGCTGGTTTGTTAACAGTGTGGGTAGTAGGTCTGGTCATGAGAGTGGACTTGGGCATGTATTTAAGTGGCAGTATGGATATAAGTGAGTCTATGTGGACTGAATAGTTCTTCCTCTTCACTTTAGAAAGCTGTTTTTGTCAAAATCGAAGCCAAGCATGTGTTTTTAGTGTCTCTGAAGTGGAACCTGGCCTTCTACCTAAATGCCAATGTACATCAGTTCTTTGGTTTGCATCATTTGCTCTCACTTGAGAGAACTTCGATTTTTTTTTTTTACAAACTGAAACTAGCATTCAATAACCCACAACACTGAGCTGCTTGACCATAGTCTAGAACATAGGTGATTGTGTTTGAGGAAAAGCCCTCACAGGCCCAGGCAGTGTTCAATAATAGGAAGGATCTCCATTATGGAAGGACCTCCACTAGGTCTTCCATTATGGCCCCAAGACATTGCTGAAATATCTTTAATGGGATGATGGTTTGTGATCGATGCCCTGCTGCATATCATGTGGCTTTGTTAGGGTATGTGAGCTTGATAAGGCTTGCTGAGTATCATTGGAGCAGTTGCTATGGGGGCAAACTCTGTTGCCTCCTGATCCATACAGCTGCTGTAGAGTGGAATGTGGAGTGAATAACCTTTTCAGAATAAACAGCTTCCTGTTTCAAGAAAGAATTAGTTGTTTTGCTTCAAAGGAGGCCAAAAGGAGAGCTGAAAAGCACAGTTTGAACATCTGGAGCTGAATGTCCAGCAGCAAAATCAAATTTTTTTCCAGTTCATTGCCTTAATTTATTTAGTCAAAATGTGTCAAACACATTTTGTTGATATTATATTGTAGTACAGCTCTGAAAGAATTTTCCTGCTGTTTAAAATCACGTAAACCAAGATCTCCCATATGACTAAGGAAGATAGTTTAATCTGAGTTTAGATTCAAGGAAAACCTCTCTCTAGGGATTAGTGGTAGAGTTACAAGAAGAAATTAAATTATCAGGGTATATGTTTTTTCTTGTTTGAATTTCTAATTTGTACATGTTACATAAACTTACAGGTAACAAATGAAATCGTTCGTCAGATGATGGAAATGAAAGGAATGTACAGCTTGGATAAACCTGGAGACTTCACTACAATTGTAGATGTACAATTAATAGCAGCAATGATACATCCTGGAGGAGGCCGTAATGATATTCCCCAGCGTTTAAAAAGACAGTTTTGTGTATTCAATTGTACATTGCCATCCAATGCATCCATAGACAAAATTTTTGGTACTTATTTCTCTTGTTTTAGTACAAATTTTTTTTCATAATTGACTTAAAATGTATAAAAGTAAGTTCTCTTTCTCACTTTCGTCATGCAAATTCGGAGTACTTCCAGTGAAACAACTGAAGCTGTATTACAGCAAAAATAGTGCTGTGGAAGAGAAATTAACGCCTTTAAATGCTTGTCTTTCTCATTTTGGATAAGCAAAATAATTAGTAAGAAAGTAATGGCATTTCCTTCCTGGAAGAATATGAGCACTCCTATTACTATGTAGGTTACCATTCCACCTCTGCGCTGTCTGAAATGCCCTCAGTTGCTAAAATGCTCAATTCTGTTACCTTTGTCAATACAGTATATTGTTAAAAGCCAGCAGTTACTGCCAGTTGTTTCTACACCAGTTCAGAAAAGCCATGGACAAGAGAGAGAAAATTATTTGATCTGTAATTTAAAAGCAAATTACTGTTTTAAATAATTACTTATATGTCTTGCTCACAACCTACCTTATTATATTCTACAACTTGAGGTTAATTGTATATTGCATTTTATCTTTTCAGGTATTATTGGCTGTGGATACTTTCATTCATGTAGAAAATTCAGCCCTGAAGTATGTGATATGGTGAAAAAATTGGTCCCAACAAGCAGAATATTGTGGCAGTGGACAAAGGTACAAATTACAGGGAAAGTTTTATCACAGTCAGTCTGAACAAAGTGCCTATTAGTGTAATTTAGGCACATATTCCTTAAGAACATATCTATAACAAGAAAAAAACAGGAGAAAGATGGGCTAAAAAAGTTTTGGAGATACAATCATCTGGAAAATATCAGATTTCAGTATACAAGACAGATGAATGGAAATATCAGTCCATTCATTCCTATAGTTTTATTCACGTTACCCAAAGTTTTAATCACTATAGCTAAGTAACAGGGAGTGAAATTCTTTATAAATTATAATTTTTAATGTATGAAGCCCAGAACAACATATGAAATGTTTACATGTTATAAGAGTTGGGGTTTTACATTTAGTGCTAGATCCTGCTTCCAAAATAATGAGAGATTTTTGATGACTTCTTAGAAAGAGTTTGCCCACAGTATTATGTGTGAAAATTAGTCGTTTTGTTATTTTTATATTTTATATGTGTTATTAATTATAAATTTATAATTTATATTATTCTTGATTCCTTCTAAATGTTACTGATTTTGAATATTAACAATATTTTTCTTTAGACAAAGATGCTGCCTACACCATCTAAATTCCACTATATCTTCAACCTTCGAGACCTTTCTAGAATTTGGCAAGGAATATTAACCATAAAGGCAGAAGAATGCAACAACAGCACTGTCCTTCTAACACTTTTTAAACATGAATGTACCAGAGTAATTGCTGACAGGTATAATAACTATAGCATTTTATATTTAATAGGTTTAGCCATTTACTTCATTTATGCTCATACATCTGTAAAACTTCTTAATATGATAAACCTTATTGGGCTAATATGAAAAATTTTGTCTTATTTTACACGCAGTCTGCATTGGGGTATTATCTCAATAAATGTCATGCTATGTACTGATAGATTAGACCAGTAATTGGATGGAGAACTCCAAAATATACGAATATTCTATGTTCTAACCTACATTTTTTTGCACTTATCTTTGACTACACTCAGCCAGTTCCTTTGTAAAAAATAGGATTGTACGGTGTCCTAAATTTATACACAGAGAATAATTTAAAATTGCTTTGATCTCCTCACAGAAAAAAGCATCACATGCCTATGATTAAAAAATGGCCCATCTCCTCTAAATCTCCTTTAAAATATTTATAGAACAGATACTGTTACAAGCTGTATGTGTTAAATATCTAGTAATATTTTTGTGTTTACAGTGTTTCAATTTCTTGTGAAATTCTAGGCATAGTACTGTAGCTGCCAGTAAAAACTTGACATATACCCACCAGTACTGTGGATTTTCACAAATATCATTATTTCTTATTCTGATGTCCTGAGGAACAGCCTTCATAATTTTTATAAAATTAATGCTTTATAATTAAAGCATTGAAGTCAAAAGTTGACACTTAAAAATATGTATGTGTATTTTATTACACTGCATTTACTTTATAAAGCTATCACAAAGTGAAAGGAATGAAAAACATTTTGCCATGGACACAAGAGGGCATATTATATTGCTTTTGCTTTTAAGTAGACCTAAAGGCCTTGAATTGGTAAGTGCTTAAGAGTTACCTGCCATGACCAAAATTTTTTCAATAGTCAACATAGTTGCAGAAGTCTAAAATGGAACTTCCCTATTTTAAGACGCTGACTGCATAAACAGGTTGACATGGTAGCAGGCAAGATGTATACATAATGATTGCATTGTATTCAAGCACAGTCAGGTTTAATTGCTAATATTCTAGTAACTTGTCAAAATAAAGCAAAGAGCAAAGGTGTAACAGAATTATAAGGAGTTCCATCTCTGTTTTCAAACTATAAGAGGGACAAAGTTAAATCCTCTTAAGTATACATTGGTATGTGGACTTTAGCATGTACTCAGTTGAAACAGAAACAAAACAAGATATATAAAACTTAGAGATGAATTACACATCACCAAAACTGGTGGATGAAACAACTGCCCTCCATTTCAACTAAATGTTAGAAACAGTTCCAAACAAAACATAGTCCATTGTCAACCAGTTTTGTTTACCACACCTACCTGTATCTTCTAGAATCCCTCATTTTCTTCCATGAGAGCTCTGAATCAGCTGGCAGATGCCTTCTCATTTTCCCCAGGAAAGTGCATTAACAAACTTGCGTTAAGAGCCAAGGAAGTAAGATTGCTATTATGACCAGTTCCAGTATCGCAGAGGAACTCTAATTTGAAAATCCTGCTCACTTTCTCCTCTCTCCCTAGATACATATGCTGAGTTCAGAAAATGCATGCAGGAAATCTAAAAGGAAATCTTATCCATCAGTTGTCAAGAATATAAAAATGAAGGCCAGAGTTTTCTGCTGACTTTAATAGTTATTTCTCTATAACCTGAGAAAGCCTACTCAGTGTAAATCCACTACAAAGTCTAACATTGCTGATATTTCTAAGTGCCTGAACTATTGTATATTATACAAGCACACAAATTACAAGCATACATATTACCTGAAATTGATGTATATGTATTTATATGTGCAATAGAGTGCTGCTGATATAAAAAGAGGGAAAAGTTCAATTTGAATTTGAAGTTAGGATCATACCTACTGATGCAAATGTGTCATACAGCTTTGAGTGTATTATTATTTCTAAAGTTAGGAGCAATATCACTGACATTTACTGAAATGTTCTTATTTTTTTTATTTATTGTGGGGAATTTAAAAATACATGGTATATATGTATTTGTACAGATATGTTATATATTAGAGAGGGGGAGAGAGAGAGTGTAGTCATGCAGTCTTTTCTTCCATGCTGCTTTTAGATTCCATAGTGATTAGTATTATAATGTCATCACTAAGAACCTCTAACAATAATGAAGTATATAATGTATATCCAGGCTGTCTCTATACCACAGTTCTTTAGTAGTATTTGTCTTACCTGAAAACTCGGAGCACTGTGTACAGCTTTTTCACGTTTGTCCTATTTTCTTCTCAGTTGTATCACTGAAAAGGAAAAGAAGTAAAGATTAAAAAAATTTTTTTTCTGTAGTTTCACATTCACAGTTGTCACATTTTCTGGGGTTGAGGTGGTTCTTGCCTTTTATGTTTACCAGTTACTTCTGAGTATCATTCTTGATTGCTTCTCAGACAATCACAGCCCCAGATAATCACAGTAGTCAAAGATCTTGATCTGTATTAAAACCATCTTGAACCTACCAATGGAAGCAGATACAGTTGTTTAAACAATGAAATGTAGTCACTAGTATTTGTCTTGGCAGACTTTGTTTTCTTTCAATCTGCATTACTCCTCCTCCCCCACGCCAGTGTATATCCCCCTCTGTTAATTATGGATTTTGGTGTAAGAAGGATTGAGAATCAAGTCAGGTTGTAGTGACATATACTATCTGCCTTTCACTATTCCTTATCTCATTGCAGTTTCATAGGCAGTACTACAATAACATAAATTATGCTATTCTGCTGCAGGTTGAAAGATGATAAGGGTCACTTAGCCATGGTTATTTGGGAAATCATTCAACCTTTTTCATCCTTTTTCATGTGAGAAATTAAATGGTCTGTCATTGCCTAGTTCTAGGTGAAAGTTGGAAAGTCAATTTGTTTCTGTGTGTTATGTTTTATGATTGACTATTATACTCTAGAGTATGGAAGCATTTCATTTCTGTGAATATTGCCTAATCCATTTCTGTGACTATTGTCTAATATGTATTGCCTAATATGTATTTTTCTTTGAAATATTACAAGTTTCTTTTAGTATTTAATTATCTGTTTTTCTCCCTATATAACTAGAAATAATTTTTTTTTAAATTGTACTAATTTATGATTTTTAGATTTATTACTCCTGAAGATACAGCCTGGTTTGAGAAAGCTATTACTAAAACAATTGAGGAATACGTTGATACAGGCTTAACAGAAGTTCTCCAAGCTGAACCATATTTTGTAGATTTTTTACGGGAGGTGCCTGAACCAACTGGTGATGAACCAGAAGATTTTGTGTTTGAACCACCAAAAATTTATGAGGAGGTATTTCATTTTACACCTAAAATACTAGGCACTGAAGTTTTCCTTTAATTATTAAGTATGTTATATTGCTGAAGTCACATCATACAGAAAATTTTGTTGAATACCTACCACATTTCTTGTGAAGATATATCTAGATTTTTCTGGTTAGTATGCAATAAATCATTTTAAAGTTAAAGTTAAAGTTAATAATGCCATATAAATGTTGTTTATTCATTCCTATTCTGCTTGCTCCTTTTTTTCCCACCGTTAGCAGAAAATTTCTGCTTAAACATAACTACAGTCACTACAGTGAATTAACAAGGTAATCTCATTACACGTGGCCAATACATGAACTCAAGTTTGTGTAAAAATGTCAGTGCAGTTTTAAATTCTGAAGGGCCATGCTAGTATTGTTACTGATGGTTTGGTTTGTTGGGTTTTTTTCAGATTCCAAGCTTTGAATTTCTTTGTGAAAAATTGCAAATGTATCAGAGACAATACAATGAATGTATTAGAGGATCAGTTCTTGATTTGGTGTTTTTTAAGGATGCAATGACACATCTTATTAAGGTTTGGGGTTTGTTACTTCTTTATTAGTTTAACTGTTGCAACAGTGTTCCTGATTTGGGCAAGCTATTCTTAGAGGGCACATTCTGAAAAGCTACTCTTATCCCCAAACTTGCTTGCCATCTTCGCCTAGTCATTTTCAAGAACTAGGAAAGAGCTACAGTTATTTTACCTGTTTGCATGTTTTGTAATAAATACCTTACTTTATATATTTGTTCAAGCTTCTGTGTATTCAGAGGTGTGAAGGTTTTCCTCAATAGGAAAGGTGAGGTCATAAAGAGGCACATTTATATTTTGTATATAGAATTATTTTTAATCATTAACAATGCAGAGAACACTTCAAAGGTATCTGTACCTGACAAGTGATCAAAACAATGTGAGGTAGAATCTGATTGGATGAGAAGCATGAAAAGAAATATAAATCACGGCTGCAGTAGAATCAGTGTGTAGGGTAGAGAAAAGTCTCAGTTTACAATCAGTTGAGCCCCTATTCAGAAAGGAAGATATAAGGAAAGAATTAATCCGAAATCAGAATCCAATTCATGAGGGAGAAAAAAAAGACTAAGCATGAGATTTGTTTGAAATGTGTGTGCCTCAGGTTTAAGAAGTTGTGTTAGTTATCTCAGGAATTACTTTAACCTGGTGATCTGTTTACTAAAAGACACATAGAAGCCACGGTGAAACCAAAACAGAAGGAGGTATTTGGGTCTTCTCTAGCTGACCTCAAGTGAAGTAAATGATTTTGTTTGCTTTGCATTTAAACAGAAGAAAATAATTTTATTTTTAAATACAGTTCATGTGATGCCAGGTGAATTTGAGAAGACCTTGAAAATCTCCGCTACTCCATTTCCATTGGCAAGTTTTAACCAGAATGTCTGGCATATGCAGTTAGGTAGTAGAAAGGAGCCCTGCTGTCACTATGGTGACAATAAATTTAGTCACCCTCATAATTTCACATTTAGACCTCTATTTTAATATAGTTATCTTGATAGGCTCAGAGGGAACTGTGCATAAACCCAAAATTTCTTTGAAGGGAAAAATGAATAGAATTCAAAGGCTTGATGTAGATGCCAATCTTTTGCATTATGTACATAATTTACATGAGGAGCAAAACTAACTGTAGCATCTTAAAAGTAATATTGCACTAACATAAAATAAAACCAAGGAAGATGTGATGTATATACAGGAGATGTGTAAAAAATAATGTAGTAAATTTGTAATCCAGCTTTTGTACCTGGGAGACTTGTTAAGACTATCTCAAAGGAAACACTGAAGGTAGATAAAATACAAGATAACACTACATGATAGTTTAAATGTGTCCAAGTCTTTCAGACTCTTAAAATTAGGAATGTAGTATGTTTATTCTTCTAGCTAAAGTTTTTTTATTGATATTTTTAAACACATTCAGGATGATACCTTCAACATAAAATGGAGCTCAAAATGTCTCCCTTTATGTATTTAAATCCTATGTGTAACTAATTATAACCATCCTATATTCTTATGTGCAGCTTTTTCATTAGCTACACAAAATTCCTGAAGAATGTACAAGTGTTCTTTTGAGTGGAAAAATTTTCTGCAAGTATCCTTTTAATAATCTTTATTGTAAATAAAGTGAAGAGTATAACAGATTTTTTTTATTTTGCTAATTAACATTTTAATTTAAATTTATTAATGAGCTTTTCTTCCATTTTTTCCTATATAGATTTCCCGGATAATTCGGACAGCATATGGAAATGCTTTACTTGTTGGAGTTGGTGGTTCTGGAAAACAAAGTCTTTCAAGGTTGGCCTCCTTTATTGCTGGCTATAAAATATTTCAGATCACTTTAACCAGGTAAGAAATGCAAGAAATATATAAATCCAATTTATGCTATCGCTTTCTCTTTACACAGTCATAACCTTATGCTTTTAACAGCCTTTTTTTTTTTTTTTTCTCATTTTATCACCATTTAAAAATGTGGAAAACAAGAAATTCTTATCTGGTTTGTATACAACATTGGATTAAGTTTGAGCTGAAAAAGCTGGACCATGTCTTAGCTATTCCTGCCAAAATATGTGTGTTTACAAAGGATGTTTGCACTATCATTTATAAAACACTATAATCTGAAAATAGCAGTATTCTGAATTGTTTTGAATTAACAGGTAATGTTTCTTATTCCTCCTAGATCCTATAATGTAAGCAATCTGTCAGATGATTTAAAATTGTTGTATAGAACAGCTGGAGTAGAAGGACGAGGCATCACTTTTATTTTCACTGATAATGAAATAAAAGAGGAGTCCTTTTTGGAATATATTAATAATCTGCTGTCTTCAGGCGAGGTGAGAGTCTCAACATGACAGGCAATGTACTTTAATGTACAGGAAACTGCAGAATTTGTTCCCACTATTTTATTTCTACTTGGTCATAAATTGGAGAATCAATAATGATTAACTCTGAAATATCTCAACTTTTAAAATAAGGAGTGCTCTTGGTATGGAGTTTCTTTATTTCAGTGTAAACCAGGAAAAGGTAAGGAGCTGTGATGGGTATTTCGGTAGCCGTTATTAAATGAGTATTCACTGTCCAGTCAAGATCTGTACTCTTCCTGAGTTAGACTTCCTAGTTTTTAATGGAGTTACATGAAGTCTAAAGCAGGGACAAATTTGGTTTTTAATCTGTCTAAACTGTATATATGCAGAGAGAGAGATACAGATGTAAACAGACAAATATTTGTAAACTCTATAATAATTACATCCATGCAATTTATTTTCTTATCCATTTTAATTTTATAAAAAGATTTCTAATTTATTTGCTCGGGATGAATTGGATGAAATCACCCAAGGATTAATACCTGTGATGAAAAAAGAGATGCCTCGGTGTCCTCCTACCTTTGATAATCTTTATGAATATTTTTTAACTCGGGCAAAGAAGAACTTGCATGTTGTCCTCTGCTTTTCTCCAGTAAGTTTTTTCTTCATAGCTGTCTTCCTTACTTCCATTAGCAAACTATCCTATAAGGTGTGACAGGATTATTCAAGCTTTATATTTTTAAGGAGATTTAAAGATGCATAAAAAGATTACTGAAGTCTGGTTATAATTGCTGAGATAATAAAAGTATGGTACAGTTGTCAGAACTTAAAAACAGAATACTTAAAAATTGAATCATTCCTTACATGTTAAAGTAATTTTTATTTTTTCTTCCTGGCATATTCTTTCCTAATACAAATCGATGAATGTATCTTTGTGAAATTCTTGCTTGTTATTTGAAAACAAGAATTTAATGGAAATTAAAATAAGTTAATTGAAGTTTTAAAATATTAAGAAACATATTTTTCATGAACTTCTTTCTTCAAATTTCATAAAATATTGAATGTTGGAAATTTAGCAAAATACTTATATAAAAGAAAAAACTGTGCAGGGTGTTCTAAGCAGAAAATTAGCAAGAAAAAAATAGACTATTTAGTTGTTTATATGAATTAAGCATTTTGATCAACCTAATTAAGTATCATATCATAAATTAACAGTGTTACTCTCTCTAGGTTGGTGAGAAGTTCCGTGCACGTTCTTTGAAATTTCCTGGTCTCATATCAGGGTGCACCATGGATTGGTTCAGTCGATGGCCCAAGGAAGCTCTTGTAGCTGTAGCCAGTTATTTTCTTTCAGAATTTAATATGGTCTGCTCTGCATCAGTTAAAACACAAGTCGTGGAAACCATGGGTCTTTTTCATGATATAGTTTCAGAAAGCTGTGAGAATTATTTCCAAAGGTAATACTTTACACAAATGCAATAATTAATCTCAAAAGTGTTCCTACAGATAGTGTTTTTTGAACTTGTGTTATATGAATCAATAAGTGTCTTTTAATGCTAATACAGAAATAAAGCTGCTGTATCAATATATGCAAATGCCATGAAAATAATTACTATTATGTTGCAAGTTCATTATCTTCATTCCCACTATTCAACAATTTTAACATTGCTTATGTGGATGAAAACAATGTAATTGGAAATAAGGGTTTGCATTATGAAGAAATTTGATTTTGACTGAATTAAAGATGATTTATATAATCTTCTGTTTCATTGGAAGTAATCAAATGGCTGTACATATCAAAAATATGTACTAAGTTGATGTTGCCAATATACTATGTTTTAGGTATCGAAGAAGAGCTTATGTAACACCTAAATCCTATCTCTCTTTCATCAATGGCTACAAAGAAGTTTATACTGAAAAGTTAGAGAGTATTAATGAACAAGCCGAACGTATGCAAATTGGTAAGCAAGATAGAGATAAACATGTATTTCCATGTATGGTCTCAAATGATCTGTGTTCTTAATATTAGACTACTTATTCAGTGATCACTTAAAATCAGTTCTGCTGGATCACAGTTCAAAACTGGAGGCTTATGAGGACCATTTCCAAGCACTCCAGCTATCACCAATTCACAATGATTCTCTTACAAAATGCCTCAAAGAAGCTGTCAGCTTAATCATTCCTCTCAGCATTATATTAAACTTTAACATTTCCAATTTAGCATTTGTAATGGAAAGTAGAACCTGAAATTATCCAGAGAGAGCATCTGATTTACTAGTATAGAGAGGTAGCTCTAAACGTAGTTATTAATTTACTTCTGGACTTGTCTATGGAAAGTCTTGCTATACAATCTGAGCGCTTCACAATTGATTTGTTTCAGATTTCTGCTATAGAATAAGTAGCTGTTACTTATGGTCATTTTATAACCAGGGATCTGAAATACAGAAAAGTATGATTGAAATGTTCTTCTAATTTTGGGTATCTGTTTGAAATGACCTAATTTTTGGCATTAGATTAGTACTTAATGGGTTCAGAATACATTTCCGGTTTTCTCCGGTTTGCATCTAGACATGCTTTTGTAAATCTACAAAGGCAACTGAATAGCTTAGGAAACTTGGTCTTTATGGGAAAAGATACTGCATATCAATGTAACAGAATAGAGAATTCTACATAAGATTTTTCATACAAAGGTAAAAGGATGTAGCATTTAGACAATGATTAACAATGCAACTGGTACACTTCACGTGAAGAAAAGAATAGAATAAGAATGTTTAGATATTTATTTTATTCAGAAACTGTTTGCTGAATTAGAGTGGACTGTAGAGGAGTAAGTGTTCCTCAATATTTTCACATTATGCAAATTTCCCTGTATGGATCTGTTGCCAGATCTAGAAATCAGAACTTATCATTAGTCCTGCTTGAGATGAGGATAAAGTCTGAGAGCCTTGAAGATTTCTGAGGGTGGGGTTTTTTTGTATTCTTTCTCCAGTTCTTCTATTTTCAAAAATAACTTAAAAGAAGTAACCTAAGTAGCTTCAGCACTGTCAAGAAAATTTCATGTGTAGATTTTCCTAGCCTCTCACATGATATTGTCGCTAATTCCTTACGTGGTCTTCAAAACAAAATGACCATGTACATGTACATCTTCTACTGCAGCATCTTTATAACATTGATGCTTAGAAAATTGCGTCTGTCAGCTTATGGGCAATACTCATGCCAGGTAGAAAACATTCTAAATGGTTTCATTTGCATGGAAAAGATGTATCACAAAACAACAAAAATACTGGTCATCCCTGACTCCAAACGTGCTCCACTGTTTACTGCATCCTAAGGAACCTTCTCAAAAAGCTTTTTATGAATTATTTAGCTACTATCTCACACATCCATCCTTTAATCCTTAGTCTTTCATCGCTTAATGTCAAAAAGATTTAGAAGGTTAAAAAAATTAGCCTTGAAGGTTGTTTCAGTGTGTTAGGAGATTATCCTGATATGAGATTTAAATTTTATGTTACTAAACTCAGCTGAGATAATGTCGCTCTTTTCATCTCCTTGTTGAAATGTTTTTCCTGTATGTAATGATGTCTGGGCCAATTCAAGATGCTTGTAAAGCAGCAAAATTGTAATAAATACCTTGATCAATACTGATTTCTAGAAAAGTCCCTGGCTTGAGCACATTGAAAGTAGATGCTGTAGTATCTATACGAATAACATATTTTGAAAGCTAGAAGTAATCTCTTCTGCTTTGTCACTTTGGGTGAAAAACCTTGTAAGACAGATGAGGAAAAAACTGAGATCCAATGACAATTACAATTATTTCTGAGTGCTTAACATCTTGTGTCTTCTCTCAGAATCCACCTGGGGAATCCTTGGTAGAGCACCACATGTAGATAATGTCTTTTGATACAGTACTGTGGTTCTACCAGAAGACCTCAGTTTAGCTTTGACAAAGTGGGCACATCATCCATTTGAGCGACTTGTTGCTAGATATCCTGCTAATTAAAAGTGACAGAAGTTACATCCTTGAGGTGCTAAGAGTACTGTGGTTTAATATCTTAATAAAGATTTTTATAATTTTTCTATATTCACTACTTTTTGCAGTCATCGTTCAGACAAGTTACAAAATACATTGCAAGAGATAAAGATTACTTTGATTCTCTCTATAGGTTCAAAATATATGCTAACTTTTTAACTTGCTTTAGATAAGTTGTAGCTGATATCAGTAAGGTTCTTACATGGAGTTCTACATATACCTCTGAAAAATCCTATTCCTCTTTCTGATTCCTAAATCAGGCATTCGTTTATGACTACAAGCACTGAAAAAAAACTAACTGCTGGCGTGGTACTGTTGTAATGTTTCTTCTGATTGGAAGTTCGCAGGGGACCTGAAGAAGCTATAAAGGTTTCTTGTTTATAACAGCAATTCTTCAATTCTTGTTCTGTGTTTTCCCATTCTTTGTCCATCTTTCTTTCTTCTCACTCTAGGATTGTAGCAGGGGAAGCTAATGCAGCAAAGGGTATCACTTTCCCTTTCATAGCTTCTCTTTCGGAATTTTTTTTTTATAGTGAAGTGAAGTAACAACCATTTTGGAAATTGCTGTCAGAGGAGTGAGAGGTGGGGGTAGAATGTTAGTGTGTGTGTACCTCTACCCCTTGGAGTATTTTAGGAAGTGGCATATGTCTGGGAAAAGGAAACATTCTAAAACATCTCTCTTGTCTCCCAGTCAACGTCCTTCAGTGAATATACCTTTGAACTTTATTGTTGAGAGTGGCAAAATAATCTGCCTTTTGGCAAGTAATAATAAAGAGCCTGTAGAATGGCAGTAGCCTGATCATGAGGCAGCTGTGCAAGAAGAATGAGAAATGTGCTAGGAGAGAATGCATGTCTGTGTGAAATGTGGTATCAGAAAAGTGAAGACACATCACAGGGAAACATTGTCGTCAAATATATAACTGCAAGTGTGCTCTGACTCTAGCTGTTAGGGAGAGAGGGAGATAAGGGGAATGCTTCCAGATGAGTTCTAAGATTTTAAGGTTCAGTAACGAAGAAGAGAGGAGAGGCTAGCGAGGCTTCAGCATGCAATACGGAGCTCAGGAATAGCCAAAAATCTGTGCTCAAATCTATGAGCAAGAGAGGAGAGAAAAAAAGAATGCATGAATGCCTGTGAAAGACTGAATAGATAATAGTTATAGAGGCAGCAAACTCATCTCTTTCTGGGCAACTGTTAGTGTAAGGCTGAACGGTCTCTATGGATGGTTGCTTCAGCACATATGAGAGCTATGATGGGACTGGCCCTAAACCACGTGAGCGCAGATGCTTTTATGTGCTTTTCTGCACTCTCTGTTGCCAGGGACATGAGAGGGTAAACTCAATATGCAGGAGCTGGAGGTCACAATCTTGCTGTGACCTTTGGGTCCACTTTTGGTGACTCCACTTCTTCCCATTTCTTTCTAGAACGAACTCCCTACTGGAAGGCAGTTATGGATCCTCATATTTATGTCATTTCCTCATGCAGTGATGCAAATGCAGTATCAGTCTGATTTTCTAATTGTCCTGTGACTTTATGACAACATATCCTTGACACACACACCTTTTTTTTTTTTTTTAAGAGGTCTATATAATGAGCATAAAGATATATTTTATTGCAGCTAATGTCCCAGCTATACACTTTTAGGTACTGTTTACGGCTATAACAAACTAAAACTAAGAAGTATGGATTTCCTTTGGAAGAATCAAGCTTGTTTATAATCATTCTGCACCTTGTGTAATTATTTATATCCATGAAAAGTGAATAGTAAGCACAATCATGATAGTATGACTGTTTACACCTACTTTCTCTCCTTTACACAAATTCAAATGAGAACACAAGGTACAAGGCATTTGGAATCTAGAGCTAGATTGTATTATCTAACTAGGAAAAAATAGTTTTCATTTTTCTGAATTTTATCTTTTACTTAATAGGTCTATCTAAGCTGATGGAGGCCAGTGAATCTGTTGCTAAACTCTCTCAGGAGTTGGCCGTTAAGGAGAAGGAACTGGCTTTGGCATCTGTTAAGGCAGATAAAGTAAGTACTTGAGTGTTAAATAGCAAAAGGCAGTGGATAGCACCAGGATATGTAGTGAGGTAAAGTGCTATGGCAGAATTTTCTCATAATTTGTACAAGCCAAAAAATGTGCATCGTGGTCTAAAACGAAGTTTCACTCCTCTCTTTGTAGCATGTTGATTCAGCATTTGCTTCTGAAAGTGAGGCACTTTAAGACTGCACAGGGGTTGAGTGCCTTCCTTGTTCTCCTCCCATTTCTTACCCACTCCTATAAGCATCGGGTTTCATTTTTTGTTTCATGTTTTTTTTGTGTGCTTGATTGACGTTTATTAAATTTGGGGTTATATGTGCACTTATTTGCAAATAAGAAGTTAACAGATGATAACGGGACTCTACTCTTTCAAAATTGCTTAGAAAAAAGTTCATCAAAGTTCAGTTTCATATTTTGCCTTTTACATTAACAAGGTGTCCATGTGTTCATGAGATTGGTGGTCTGGTAGAAATCTAGTTTCCAAAATGACTCTCTGAAAAGGTATGTTAGGGAATGTATTAATATAGGCATTCTGTTTTCTGAAAGATACCATAATACTATGATGGTGCATATTTAATATGCACTGGAAAGCAAACGTTTGGCCAGTGATGGCTAAGGGATTGCCTGCATTCTTCAAGGCCTTTTATCTCATAAGAGAGAAAATTATGACAGAAAGGGATGAAATTACACTTCTTGCATTTCAGGAGTATGACAGATATGCTGGCAGAGTTCACTTTGTTTAATACTTATATTTGATACACATTTTGAAATAGCTCTCTGGCAGTCATTCACATAGCCTCTTAGTTGTCAACTTTTTCAATAGGGCACTGCTTATGAGTCATCCGAAGTAGAAGACGTATGGACAAATAATAAAAGAACAGACTTTTATTTAAACTATGTGTAATATTGTTTATATTCTATATATTTCTTTCTTTCCCTTAGTACTGAGCCTTATAGAAACCAGAATTGGATTTCACACAAAAAAATTGTGGCAATTGGGGATTTTATTTGTCATTTTTTTTCTCAAAGGTGTTTGAGAGCATTGTTTAAGTTCTTGTAAATGCATACATATAGCCTTGACCCTATAGCTGATACTGGTCAAAAAACATTCTGACACTTACTGTATGTCACGCATGCAGAGGAGAATTAAAAATATATGTACTGAAGAACCAGACATGAATGGATAACTTCATTCTGTGAATTCACGTGGGGCTGTTCTTTGAATAGACTAATTAAAAGTGACTCTTTAGACTAAAGGAGTAATAGAGAGGCTGACCATTGGTGCAGATAGTTTGCCATCTTCCATTAGTTTTATTAGCTATGCTATTTTTATTTTTATCTGCAGAATTATAGTGAAAAAAGCAAATATTTATTGTATTGAAAAAGTATAGGTTGAAATAGGATAAAAATCCATCATAGGATAAAAAACTGGCTTTAAAAGCCACTGAAAGGTCTTCTATCCGTTATAAAAATAATTGATTTTTTTACTATCCAACTCCTGCTGAGAGATTCATATGATATTTCTTTGTGGGGATTCTGTAAATTGTATTAATTTTTATTCCGTAATTACATAATGCCATATATATATTTAGGGTTAACTTTATATTTTTCTGTCTAATAGCCTTTACCTGTCTGTTTTGTCTTGTGTCTGATAACTTAGCACTTGTTCCACCATTTTGATTTATACATTTTATGTGTTTATTATCAATTCTAGGTACTAGCAGAAGTCACAGAAAGTGCTGAAGCTGCAGCTAAAGTAAAAAATGAAGTCCAAGGCGTGAAAGATAAAGCACAGAAAATCGTAGATGAAATTGATTTAGAAAAAGTGAAAGCAGAGAGTAAACTGGAGGCAGCTAAACCAGCATTAGAAGAAGCAGAAGCTGCACTAAATGTGAATAAAATTCTTACATTTTGATTAGTTTAGTACTACTTGAGTCATCTGTGAAAGAAAGGCTAGAGCCACCAACATGCAGTTGTCACTTGGGTTTGACTGCAGTCACCAGCTCTTCACAGTTGGTGGTCATGTCTCTGATGAATAGTTATGGAACTCACATTTTGCTTTAAACACATAGAGATTATTTTATAGTATTTGTTCTGCTTCCACCTCAATACTTGATCATTATGAAGGTATAAATCTTTCAAAAATTTACAGGTGCCTTTAGAATTATTATTCTGAATTCAACAGAATACTTCTTGTGCTAAAAGAATGTTTTTTCTTCATGCTTAACTAGTTGTATCTTTCTTTTAAGAGGAATAAAAGACTGTCTCTTCCTTCACCAAAAAACGTTTAATTTGGAGAGAAAGAGAAAACAGAGGGGATTCAGGGCAATCAGAATCAGGGTTAAGAAATTTGGAGGCATTGCTGCACTACATAATTTCATCATTCTGCTCTGAACAATTAAAAAGTAAAGAACTCCAGAACCAGAAATGGATGATGTATCATATTTTTAAGGCCTTCTGTTGCAGTTACCAGAATTTATGTGACAAAAAATATTGAGTGGAAGAAGCCAGAAAAGGAGTATTGTTTGCTCTTACACTGACATTTAGATAATGAGATAAATGAAACTTCCAAAAATGGTCACAAAATTCACTTATATGTGTGGACTCACACATTATCCTGTGGTTTCTCTAATGTGTCTGTAACTACTCCTTCTAGACAGGTAGTGGCATGCGTGTATTTTGTAGACACAAATTAATATGCTAGTTTTGAAGTTTATTATCATTTATTATTTTTGTATTAGTTATTGAACTAAGCAAAGTGTCAGTGATGTTACTAGAAAATGAAGTAAAAAAGTGGTATCTCATACCTATAATAACTTAAAACCCAACAAAAATAACCAAATCCATCTCAGAATAAATGATGCACTTAACCCTTAAAAATCCAAAATACTATTTTACCAAGGAAACTCCTTTTAATTAAGTGTGATGCAATTTTACAATATACTTTTCTTCAGTCACTTAGGCTGACATGTTAAATTAATACTGCTGTTCCATGTATTTAAATTTGATTTTTGAGTGATGTCTTTAGTGTTGGGAAAATATTCTAGTCTAATATATATTAATTAAAATTATTAAAATTTCAGGAAACTATGAAATTTATTAAAGTAAGCTCAGTTACTCACTTTTTTTTGTAGTACAAACTTGCCTCAGAGAAAAGTATGACAAACATCAAAATCAAGATATTGAATGGGAAAATAGAATAATGGTATTGATGCAGGATTCTGTTACATTTTTCTTCAAATAGACCATCAAACCAGTGGATATTGCTACAGTTAGAAAACTTGCAAAACCTCCCCACCTAATTATGAGGGTCATGGACTGTTGTCTTCTACTATTCCAAAAGCAAGTAGATCCAGTTACCATGGATCCAGAAAAGCCTTGCTGCAAGCCATCGTGGGGAGAATCATTAAAAGTAAGCAGAGTTTTCAAACAGTGTTTCTTACATATCAGAAATAGCAATTTGCATATCAGAGAATTTATGATGCTGTTCTCTCAAAACAGGACAGAATTTTGTAAAAACGCAAACATATGGTTTTAAGATAGGCATAGTATATAAATAGTTTATTTGGTAGCAAGCAGTAGGTGAATTTCTTAGAGACTTTTGCAGTAGGAGCTTTAGATTTTCCTTGTCCTATTCCTGGCATATGACCTGATGGCAAATAAATAAATCATACCAATCATGTTAACCATACATGAGAAAAGGGCGTTCTGGAAAACCCCTCTTTCTCTTTGGGAACTTGTAGGTTCACATTTGAACAGCCTTCTGATCCTCCCAGGCTCCTTGATTGTTTGAAAGATTATTTGACTGACTAAGAGATAGTAGGTTTTCCCATTCTGCATTTCAATATTCCTGGCCCAAATTCCTTGGTCAGCCAGCCATCTCTTCCTTCTGGACTTTGATCTTCTCTCAGGATACTCTTTTATTTCCATGCCTTCTCCTGCCAGTCTTTAAATTCTGCTCTACCTCTATTAGTGTATTAATTTGCCAATATTATTGCCTCAATTTTTTTGTCATGCGAATGAAGAAAAATTACATATTTTGGATATGAATAGAGCCCTTGCTTTTTATTTAAGCTTTTCCAGGAATTAAGAAATTATCAAACCTTTTTATTTTCCACCAACATAATGAAATGGGATAAACAGTTATTCCATGAGTTGCCTTTAATGTGTTAAACATTTGTTAGAAAAAAGTTAAAACTGATGATTTCCCTTTCCAGAAGAATTTAGATCACATTTCACAAACGCATAAGCAGGTTTTTCGGCATTCTTTAGGTAAGTTACAAATGTATCTCTGAGGCTTTATTGTAGTTAAATTTTTTTTTATGAAATTGCTGCTTCTTAAATGCTTTTTAAAGGGCAACACAGGAATGTGGAAGATGGAAAGTACATAAATAACTTTCAAGCCTAGTTACTGGAGTGTAACTGCTTAAAACTTCAAAATAATTGAAAGCATGTGGAAGGAGTTACAACTGAATAGCATACTTATTAACTGTATGAATTACCTCTTTCTACAGAAGAATTTTAGGAACATTTTTTTAACATACTCACCTATGAACAAGCTTTTGAATGTGAAATGTGTAAATAGCTTATAAATATCCCGTGTTGTTTTTTGCAGCTTATGAGTGGCCCATTCTTGCAGAGTCTACAGCAGTTTCCTAAGGATTCAATCAATGAAGAGACAGTAGAATTACTCCAGCCTTACTTTAACATGGAAGACTATACACTGGAGTATGGTAAAAAGGTGTGTGGTAATGTGGCAGGACTCCTCTCTTGGACACAAGCCATGGCAATATTTTATGGTGTTAACAGAGAAGTCTTACCTCTTAAGGTAATACATCATCTCTTGCTTTGTGTTGGCTTTCCATGTAATTTAATTTCATTTACTTTAATAGTAGTAGGATTTAAAAAATATATTTAGATAACTTTATTCAGACATAATTGCCCGTAGACTTTAGTGGCTAAGGATGATAAGAGCAGAGAAACCCCATAGCCTCTTCTTGATTCTAGACAGAACACAGAACAAAAAATTAGCCTAGGTTAAATTTATGTGCTCTGGTTTACCGTGTACAGTGAAAGGTGTTTTCAGTCTTTGGTTTTATTATGTTATAATCACTTTATAATTGTTTTCAAAACGTTGTACCAGGAGAGGATGTTCATTCCTTCTCTAAGGAGTCCTGCAATCAGAGGTTTGCAGCTATTTTACCTTCTTTGCTTTCACACGATAACTTAGAGGGAGTGGAGGACTGGTATCTTGCCCAAATATTGGCATTCTGAAGAGATTCAGAGCTCACATCAATAAGAGAGTTACGTTGCAATAGTGGGAACCAAACTGAGTAAAACATTTTTAAGAGTCAGATTTACTTTAGTGTGGCTGTTCTTTTAGATGTTTGTGAACATTTGAATAAAAAAAATTATCAGAGATAAAGACCATATGGAAACTCAAATGCAGTGATTGTTACTTTTTGGATTCTAAAACAAGTATTTAATCCCTACATGTAGCACAGTTTAAAAAAAAAAAAAAAGTAAAGGGGGAAAGCATGTGAATGGTGATTCCAAATCTTTTCCATGTTTTTTGTCACTGGTAGAAGTATCATTTACAAAAGCAACAGTCATGCTTTTGACTGATGAGTCAAAAGAATTATTTAATGCATTTCCTGTGTTCACCATAAATATCTGTTTAGGAGCAATGGGAAGATTCACTGTTTTAGGACCATGGTTTTCTAGCGGGTAAAAGCTATATTGTTAGCTGATAAAGGACCAATCTCCTGTTGTTGTGATTGTTGATCGCTACAGAATGTACAAATAAAAAAGAAATAATAAAGCATATAATCAAGCAAGAAGATTGAGTGATTGTCCCTCTAGGCTAATCAATATATACAGATCAGAAACCTTACTTCCTTAATCAGCTTCCTGAAATGTAAATTTTTTTAAAAGAAATAAAGTTGACAATCTATAGTAGGAACCTTGAGTACTACACTGTTATTTAACAAAAAAATTGTATCTGCAGTATATATGTGACATAGTTTTCAGATTAAATATTTTTAATATTTATATAAACATTAATATTAAAGTTTTTTGATGTATTATTGTCTTATGATTACCAACTAAGCAGGCTTAAAATAAGTCATCAAAGTATATTCAAATCTTGCACGATTATTGTTTTAATATTTCTTCTCTTTGCAGGCTAACTTGGCCAAACAGGAAGGCCACCTGAAAATAGCTAATGAAGAATTAGCAAAGGCTCAGGAAGCATTAGATGAAAAGCAAGCTGAACTGGATAAAGTGCAGGCAAAGTTTGATGCAGCAATGAAGGAGAAAATGGTGAGATAAAAGTATTTTAGTATTATGAAAAATGCTTGCATACAATACTGTTATGTAATCAGGAATTGATACAAACACGCATTTAGGGCCTGCTACCTTGAATGACATGGATGAGATTCAGGTATAAAAGTAAGAGATTTAAATCTATGTTCTCTCATATTTCCTTCTTTCTGTGAATAGGAACATATTAGAAAATAGATGCACTGAGAGTTCTCAAGAATGAGTTTTAAATAAATAAAATAGTCATAATAAATATAAGAGGATGAAAGGATATATAAAATAACTCTTCAGATTTTTGTATTCTGTTATTAAGTAGGACATTTTTTAATTTTAGGACTTACTGAATGATGCAGAAACATGCAGAAGAAAGATGCAAGCAGCCTCTGTGCTTATAGATGGGCTGAGTGGAGAGAAAGTTAGATGGACTCAGCAAAGTAAAGAATTTAAATCTCAGATTAACAGGTATCAAATTATTCAGAGAAAAAAAACAAACGAAATATGTGTAAAAACTGAAGAGCTAGTAAGCAATTTAGTAGCTTTAATAGCTCTACTTCATTTTCCTCTTGGAAATCTTAATATAGTTACACAATTAAGTGAACTATCCTGAAATTTGAATTTTTCTCCCATAAGTGAATACCTGAGTGCTGAGTGCTTGTATTTCAGTTCAGAACAATACCTCCAATTTTGGAATTTATTTCCAAAGGGATTATTTTTAGTGCAGTTATGTGCCTGTATTACAACTGCCTCTCCTGCCCCCCTAACACTGCATCTCATTCCAATATTTCCAATAGGCGGGAGGTAGGGATGATCTAAGGCTGACACCGAGAAGGAAAATGGAAGGATTCCTAGCCTAATACTGGACAGGGAAAGAAGCATCCCTTTTGATACTAGTTATGGCATATTTGAATAAAAGAAGGAGGCCTGGAGACCAAACAGTAACCTTGGTCCTATAGTCTGTGTGTTGAAACATGTGGGACAGTAGGCCTTATTCTGAGAAACTTAGAAACTTGGGAGTGCCCATTGTGTTGCTGTCCAAATGACAAAATGTTGAGTGGCCTAGGAGCCAGAGATCCTAGCTGTCTAGAAAATGGGAAACCCGTCAAAATGGTTGCTAAAGGTAAAGAGCCTGAAAGTTTAGGCTCAGCTTCTGTGGAATGCTTCTGTTTCCATAAATTTCCTATGGAGAAATTGGGCATTTCTGGTGAGGTCCGCTCATTCCAAGAGAATTAAGTTTGTATCTTTTGATAAATATTGTATTGCAGACATATTTTTAAGAAATAGACCAATTTCTTGCTTCAGTTATGAAAGAAGGAATAGTTGTCATCAGGGCTTTATTACTTGTTGGGGTGAAGATAATGTTTTCATACGATACTACTCTTAAGTTTTGCCACAAAAATATTTTGGAAACACAAAGAAACTATTTGTTGTTCTCAAAGAGCAACAGTTCTCTCCTTAAATTGTCCTCAGAAAAGAAATCTTATGTTTCAAAAGCTGGTTGTCTAAATCAATAGAAATTGAAATTGTACATCACCTTTTAATTATGATTTTGTTCCTTTTCTAGACTTGTGGGAGATGTACTGCTGTGCACAGGTTTTCTTTCATACTGTGGACCTTTTAATCAAAACTTCAGGAAGCTTTTGCTTAAAGATTTATGGGAAGCAGAGATGAAAGCCCATAAAATCCCCTTTTCTGAAAACTTGAACCTGATTTCTATGTTGGTAGATCCGCCAACAGTAAGTTCTTGGTGCTTGGTGGTTTCATTTTAATTTCAATTAACATATTCTGTGACTGTTAGCCAGCATTATGCTTGCTTAGAACAGAACTATAATCCCCAATATTGCAGTGCAGTGTGGTTCTTGTGGTTTCCAAATGTTCTTGGCAATTTCCACTAAACATCTGAGTACTGAGCAATGTTTAGATAGATAAACAAGTTACATATTTTAAACAAGTGACATACTGGCAATTGTCTAATTGTATATAAGACAGTGCACTTTCAAGTATCTTATTCTGAGAACCCATCACCACAGCTATAGATCACATATCTACTAAAACAGTGAGTTTGGTTGTTAACTTTTCATTCTGCCACTATTATCTGGGTCTGGTTTCAAAAATAAACTTTATGTCAAAGAGAATATTTAAAAAAGAATGCATAAAGTCTTTTCACTCAATGTGAATGTATGAGAAACCAAACAGAGGACAATGCCAGAATCTGCAAGTTTCCTTCAGTAAATATTAAGCCCCAAAAGCTTTAATGTTTAATTTGGCTGTCAAGCTGCCTTTTGACTTTCTTACACTTTTAAAATATATTTTTTTAATCATTCTATATAGTTAAAAACATCCATAAAAATAGAATCCTGGAAATATTTTTCCATCTGCATTAATCACTTTTCAGCAGGTTCAGATATGCATCCCCCTTGGCTTGATGTCCCCATTATTTCTTAGAACAATCGTAATTGAAGGATAATTCCAGTGAGATTTTATTTCAAACTACTTTTTTTTTTTATTCTTCAGATTAGTGAGTGGAATCTTCAAGGACTGCCTGGAGATGATCTCTCAATTCAGAATGGTATCATTGTCACTAAGGCAACTAGATACCCCCTTTTGGTAGACCCACAAACTCAAGGGAAATCATGGATTAAGAAGAAAGAACAGGATAATGAATTACAGGTGAACAGTGTTTTAAAGGAATAATGTGCTGTATTGTAGTCCTTCAAACATTATTGCTTTAGGGTGTGTCTGCATTTGAGTCAGTGCAACTGTCATACACACATATCTGAGATAACTAACTTGTATGGAGACTGACAATGATGTAGATGCATCAGCAGGGAACTTGACAAGAGCTGTAAATCCCATTCAAGGACTTGGAAAAGATTATATAGTAAGTAAATACTGGCATGAAATCTAGCAAGAAGTATGAAAAAGAAGGAGGTAGCTTTATGTTCAAAATTGGTGAGTATGTTCCCTAAACAGAGGGCAAAGTGGTGAAAAATATAGCAAGAGAGTATAATATGAAATTATTAAATGAGAGTAAATTGGGCAACTATTAGTAAGATTACAGACAAAGGCAGGATAACTTACAGCTTTGAAAATGTAGGCAAAGTACTTAAACTGATGCAGTCCAGCATTTAGAACCCAAGATGGAATTCATACATTAAATTACTGCTACAAAAGTAAATTGAGGACAACCAGTTGAAATCAAACCCAAGAGAAATCTGTCTATCCTAATGTTACTGCAATTTTAATAGCTCTTTTATAGCTTAAGCCAATAGGGTTAAATGTCTGCTCATGAAATATAATACAACAACGTTCACGTTACCTGTAGTTTGCATCACAAATGAATTTTTCACAAATGAAGTAGCATGGGAAAAGGAGCGTGCATTTTAAAACCCTTAACCTGAATGTTGCAAAATGTCACATGTCCTCCTGAATCTCAATAAGTTTTCGGGGTTTTAGAAGCTCTAGATTTTGAAGATTTTAAGTCTTGGAGTAAAGTGAATGTGAAGTTCTTGCTTATCATTTTATCATTAACAAAGTAAACTGTCAGAACCACAGAAAAGTTGAGGTTGTAAGGGATCTCTGAAGGTATTTTAGTCCAGCCTCCCTGCTCAGAGCAGTATCTACTAAAGCAGGTTGCCCAGGACTGTGTCCAGTTGGGTTTTGAATACCTCCAAGGATGGAGACTTCACCACCTTTCTGGGCAACGTGTTTTAGTGTCTAACCACCCTCACAATAGAGTTGTGGGAGGTTTTTTTCCTTATGTTTAAATGGAATTACCTGTATTTCAATATGTGCCCATTGCATTTTGTCCTGTTACTGTGTGCCACTAAGAGGAGTCTGCCTCCTTGTTCTTCATTCTCACCCACCAGGTGTTTATATACATAGGTAAATACCCTTGTGAGCCTTCTTGAGGCTAAATAATCCCAGGTCTTTCAGCTTTCCTCATATGTCAAGTGCTCCAATCCCTTAATAATCTTACTGGTCCTTTGCTGGACTCACTTCAGTGTCTCTCTTACATTGGGGAGCCCAGAACTAGACAGAGGACTCCAGATATGCGTTTGCAGTACTGAGCAGAGGGGAAGGATCGCCTTCCTGAACCTGCTGATAATGTTTTTCCTGATGCGGCCCAGAATGCTGTTGGCCTTTGCTGCAAAGGCAGATTGCTGGCTCATGCTCAACTTGTCCACCAGGACCCCAAGGTCCTTTTCTGCAAAGCTGTTTTCTGGTAGAATGGCCCTATTTCATACCTGTAGAGAAAATCTTGAAAATAATGAGAACTTTCTGAAAGTAAAAATCTAGGAAGCAATACAAAATTAGTGTTTTATTTATTTATTCATGTCTTTTGATGATTTTATATGTTATGAATCCCATTTCATGATATTTCAAACATCTGAGTTCATAATATTGTAACAGCAGTTCATCTGTTAGACTGAATTCAGGTGTCCAGAAAGAATTTCTCAACACTTCAAAACTAAAATTAGAAAATCTACTCTTCAGGACATAGAAGAGAAAATTAAAAGTTAGGCATCTCTGATTTCAAAAATATATGTGACGTCTTCAATTCCCAATAAGCTGTACCAGTTTTACTTGGTACATTATTACTCTTATAATGAAGTTTTGCAGATTCTATTACAGCCAATCTTTTAATTCCCCTTTTTATGGTACTTTTCATTGTATACACAAGAAGTATTTCTGCATAACTTGCTGCATGGTCAACGTTTATTACTTTCTTTAAAATGCAGCTAACAAAAACAATGAAAAATTTTCATAGTTAGATCTGTGGTTTTCATGTAAGACTTCGAAGAAATGTTTTTGTCCTTATATCAATTTATAATTTACTTTTTGAGGTAACGACTTTGAATGACAAGTATTTCCGTACACACCTAGAAGATAGTCTTTCACTGGGACGATCACTCGTGATTGAAGATATAGGTGAAGAGTTGGATCCAGTCCTTGATAATATATTAGAAAAGAATTTCATGAAATCTGGAACATCTTTTAAGGTTAGTAATCAAACAGAAGACCTGGAATAAGTAGTTAGCTTTGTGATGAATTATATTTTACCCTTTTATTCCAAACGTCTGCTGAATCAGGTAAACTTTGTATTCAGTAGGGTAGTGTGAAGAATCAAACTGAACTAATAAAATATAGGAGACAGAGCCTCAGCTGAGTAGCAAGTTCATGAGTCTAAAATTTGAGTTTATCTACTGAAGTTACTACTGAAGATTCCAAACCAGAACCAGTTATGTTTATCCTATTGAATGCTTACAATACTTTCTATTGATTTTCAAGCAATTTCATTTTACACCCTTTAACAGAATTAATAGAATTGAAAAGATCTCTCTCCTCTTAGTGTGGAGCGCTGATTGCAGCAACTGCAGAATCTTTGATCTGGGATAGAACTGTTTTCTGATGGAACAAGTCAAAAAGCACAAAGTTTTATTAATAATGTTAAGTATATTCTCAACCTTGAAAAATCATGAGTCTTTCTGACCTTCATTAGATAAAGAAATCACTCCCAATTTTTAAAAACAACCCCCCTTCAAACATCCTGAAATAAAATGACAGCACGTATATTTCCATATGTATTTTTCTCAAATAATCTTAATTAACTGGCTGGGATATGAGAGAGATGGTAGACCAGATTGTTGATAATAATAAAAAGAAAATTATTCCTATTTTTGTGGAGTAGTTTTACTTTGAATGTCAGAGCAAACAATATGCTTAAGGGAGTGGCTTAAATTAATTAATTTCCAATAATTTATGTTCCATTGTTGGATCAAATAATTTCTTTTTTTTCCTGAACACAAGAAAACAATGATTTCTCCAAAGGCCAATAGTTTCTACCATCTTCATTTGAGGTGTGATTAGAAGCACAAAACCTAAACCAAATGGTTCTGAAGCCATTAATTAGAACCCACAGTGGAAGTAATCCCTATATTTACCTGGAGGGGAATGCTACTTTTATAATGTACCCTAACTGCTACCTTTGGTCATCGATTGTTATTTTCATGACAAATTTGAATTGTGAAATAAACTTCCTCTTTGGCGTTTCAAATAATGTGGGTTTTTTTCTGGTCAATATTATTGAGTTGAATAAAGCTTATTTTCCTCTACTTAATACTCTTCTAACATACTCCACAGGTGAAAGTTGGTGATAAGGAAGTAGATGTTATGAGTTCATTTAGACTGTACATTACTACAAAGCTACCCAATCCTGCTTTCACGCCTGAAATTAATGCAAAAACATCAATTATTGATTTTACTGTTACAATGAAAGGACTTGAGAATCAGTTACTGAGAAGAGTAATTCTTACTGAAAAACAGGTAAACTAACAGTATACACAAACCATAGTGATGCTTAATTTTTTTTTATTTAACTGTTTTTAGAATTTAGGGAAAAAAATCTTCAAATGGAAAAAAGACATCAGCCTAAAATTTTATATATATTCAGTATAGAAATTTCCAAATAACAAAAATACACCTAGAGGATCTTCTATGTATGGCTGTCAGTATGACACAAAGAATTAAGTACAAGCATTTGGCATTGATAAGATACTTCATAAGATACTGAATAAATGCTGCTTAAAAAAAAAGGATGTTATAATAACATGTTTTAGATACCTGAAAAAGTAAAATGCACATTTCATGAACTTGAAAAATCAGGCAACTGAATTTTAAGTATGACTCATCGTTACAGTCCATAAAGTGTCATGCCATTTTCTTGTTTTTTAATAATAGGAGCTAGAGGCAGAACGAATTAAACTCATGGAAGATGTAACTTTTAATAAGAGGAAGATGAAAGAACTGGAAGACAATCTTCTGTACAAACTAAGTGCAACCAGAGGTTCTGTATCAAAGTGTAAAAGAACCAGGATTAAGCAGATTAGGCAGATTAATCTGATTCACATTAGAACCTTTCCATACAGAAATTGATTTATCCATCCAAGATACAATAAGAGAACATCCAATGGTAGAAATTTGAAGTGTGGTGATTTACCAGTGTATGAGGGATTTGGTACTATAGCATGCCACTATATACAACCCTAGACACTAAGTTTTTTTAACACCTAAACAAGTTCTGTGAAACAAATAAATTTCTTGAGAGCTTTCTGCCCCTCAAGTGAGATAAGATATCTGATCATGGGCAAATCCTTAACCCATTGAAAATGCAGAGTAAAATGGGCTAGCTTAAATGGTGTTGAAAGTCTTTTGTAGTATATTAGGAGCCTGCACATGATCTATTACTGTCTCTTTGGTGGAAAAAGAAGGTGGTAATTTCCAGCAAATCGATCAGTAAGTACTTGAGATGCATGAATACTGTTGTGTGACCATTGCATTTGGAACCCTAAGTCTTTTTGATTTTGAGTGTACCAATCAACAGACTTTTAAATAATTGAAGCACTGTGTATGAATACGTATGCTATGTGCATAAGAAAGCTGACTTCTCTAGTACATGCTGCAAAGTTGTTGGTATAGATATTGGCATAGGTTGAATGCATTTGTTCAGCATGTTGAATATAAAACTAATTTTTAGTGTTACATATCCTGTTTGGTCTCCATTTTAAAAGCTTTCTGCAATTCAGTAAATCATTTCCATTTGTTATCAATAATTTCTATAATTTGGCCTTTCAATTTTTATATATATGAAGTGAAAAAAAGTTGTAAAAGTGTCCTAAACATCCAATATTTCACTTTTTAGGTTCACTAGTAGATGATGAATCCTTGATTGGTGTTCTGCAAACAACTAAGCAAACAGCTGCTGAAGTAGCTGAAAAGTTGTCTGTGGCAGCAGAAACTGAAGTGAAGATTAACACTGCTCAGGAGGAATATCGACCTGCTGCTACACGTGGAAGCATTCTTTATTTTCTTATTACAGAAATGAGCATGGTCAATAATATGTATCAAACTTCACTGGCTCAGTTCTTGAAGTTATTTGATCAATCCATGGCCAAGTAGGAAGACGCAGACTTTTCTACTATTCAGATCTCTGTCTTTCCAATGTATTTGCTATTATTAACATGCTTTCTTTGTGCTTTGTTTTCATGATTCAGATCTAAGAAGTCTCCTTTACCTCAGAAAAGAATCTCAAATATTATTGAGTATCTTACCTTTGAAATTTACTCGTATTCTGTTAGAGGCTTGTATGAAAACCACAAATTCCTCTTTACTCTCCTCCTGACATTAAAAATTGATCTTGAGAGAGGACACCTGAAAAACAAAGAGTTCCATGCACTCATTAGGGGTAAGTTTAAAAAATTGTGTTATATGTAGAGCTAATTTCAACTTTTTAAACTTTTATACCATTTCAGAGTATGATTTTTTTGGCTGCATGGTTTCTACCATGCAGTTCTGTGGGAGCTGCCTCTGTCCTTATCCCTGCTGTGGTCCAGTGAAGTTGGATGCAGTTCCCTATCACGGTTCTACCTCCGCCATTTACCCAGGCTGTGTTCTATCCTGAGATCAAGATGATAGTTCTGCTTCTCTCCATCAGCTGGTTTAATAATTGTATATTTTTGTATTATATTTGTATCCTTATTTTTATAAATTAGGTGACTTCTTGTTCCTTTGCTTCTCTGCTTTGGTGGAGCTGAATAAAGCTGTCTTCTAAGTTGCCAGAACAACTCCACTTAAAGTCCAAGAGGTGCTACAAACAGTCTTTTCTCAGTTTCAGCTTGAGCTTTCTCTGACTTTTGCCAACCAACTAACACTGACTTTTAGAGAACATAATGTGTTTCTATGGCCCAACTGGCCAGATCTGCCTCCTCTGAATTCTGTGAATTTGTGCCTCTGCTGAAAAATGTGATCAGGATTGCTTATGCGGAGGTCCATATAAAACCTGTTTGAATTTTACAGTGTTCAAATGAATCTTGCAAAGGTCTAATGTCAAAGTAGTGAACCTAGATTTGAAGATCATTATCTGCCTTTAATGAATAAAATGGATAGGAAACAAGATTAAATTAACTTTCTGTTTTGCTTTCCAGTTTGTCGTAATGGTTTATCTTTTGAGAATGGTATCCAGCCACCAATTTACCACTGATGTCAGGCAGGGCATGCTTGAAAATGCTTTCCAAATGAGCTGTCTGCTTTAGTAAAGCATTAGACAAGGAACCATATTTCTTGGCTTCTCAGCTCATGGATTCTTGTTTTGCCAGAGGAAAATATACCTTATACTTTGTGCATCTGAAGCAGAAAGTGGTCACTTACCCTTTTTTAACTGATGAGAATCTGTAAGAAAATACAGGAGTACTTTTAGCAATTTTTGTCTAGAACACGATTGCAGTTTCCTGCCTAGCTTTACCACGGTTGATTTGATAGTGAGAAATTTTTCTGGTGTATAAAATGACATGGAGAAATTCTTCTGGTGTATAAAATGACACCAAAGTAACAATAGATATTCTATAATTATTCAGATGATATTAAATCAAATTGGGAAGTGGACAGTTGCCTAGCCAAATTGTCCTGGACTCTTAAGTCTTCTGCAATGAATGAATTGTTCAATTTTCCTCCTTGGATGAGCAATTCTTGTTGCAAAATAAATGCCATGTTACCAAACATCATTGGGCAGCTGAAGAAAGGATTTATTTGAAAAATAAATCTCTCTTCATCTTCTTTCCATTTCTTTTCCAGGAGAGCTTTCATGGCTTATCATCAGCCATATTATCAGGGGATGTCTCAGTGAAATAAGCATTGTTATTTGAAATGAAAAAATCTCTAGAACTCATTATTCAGCTAGTCTCAGGAGATTATTAACTCTAAATCTTTCCTTCTGCTAAAGTACATAAATTGAATTTCATTCTATTTACTGTATTCCGTTAAAGACAAAAACTAGCCCCTTCCTATGTATTTTAATGCTATAGCTTGAAGGTAACCTTAAGTCAGCAAAACAGAGAAAGCAGGTCCCCGAATTATAGGAAAATAGACTCCCATGATGGTGGCATAGAATTTTTATTAAAACTGTAGAAAGAAACAAAATCCAAAATATATGAGAAAATCTAAGGAGTTCATTGACAATTTTGTAGGTATCTTGACACTTAGGTAGGCTGTGTCCTTTACCAGTAGAAAGTGGGGGACTGGTGCAAGTGAAAAATATCATCTTCTCTAGCAGAAAATATATTTTACTAAGAAGCTCCATAAATATTAGAGAGCATGTTACAGAGGAATTGCAAAGCATCTTTGGCTTTGTTGACTTAAATAAAAGCCAGAAATACTGCCAAGTATGCTATTTTGTGGACAATTAATGATTACGTCTTAAAATTAAGAAAAATCTTTTTGGCTAAAGTGATTGTGATTCTCTCACAGAATTCAATAATTTGCAAAAATATTCCTGTTGCCTATTGTATTAAATTTGCAAAAGATGTGATTCTGGAACAGGGTATCATTTTGTAATAATAATGCTAATAATGGATTACAGATTTGTGTAAACACTTTTTGTTATCCTCTCTTTGATTTCCATTATTTCAGTTTGCAGAGACTAAGAGGAAGTTCTGGGATACATACATGGATCCCAGTCAGTTATTTCAAACTATATATCCCAATGCCAAAGACATAAAAGGATGCTTGAAGGAAACTTTAACGGGTAGTTACAGGAAATGCAGGAAAATCAGTATTTGCACTTCAGATTTCATGAAGCAGCCCTTTCTTTCTGTGAGGTTACTGAAGCTTGTAATCCCTGAGGTAAAAAGAAAGAGAAAAAGCACAATGGTAGGAAAACTTTGTAATAAAAGCATATGAAGTAGCTTTACATTTTTGCATGACAGAAATAATTTTGATTTGTACATAGGAACTTCACATTCTTGAACAAGAGTTTGCCCTTTAATCGGCCCTTCAGTAGCTCATGAAAACATTCAAATCAAATACTAATCATATCTAATTCTGTTTATTGATTATATCTAACTGTATCCATATGTGGAGGAAAGCATTGCACAAATTTTTGTAGATGCTGAAACTTTTCACATATGCCTATGAATGGCAGAATGAAAACTAATAAAAGGAAAGACTTTCAGGCTTTGCATATTTAACTCATTAACATAACAAATGACTAACCATAAGAACTTAGCAGGATTTATCAAAAGATTAGGTATGTATAGTAATAGCAAGAATATCAACTATTACAATGAGAAACACGTTGTTTATACTTTTGTAATTCTCATTCTTCATTGAATAAGTCTGCCTCAAAAAATGAAGGTTTAAAAATTTCCCCAAAAGCAAAACCTTCCCGAAGATCTGTTTAGTGTCCATTCATTGAAACTTTTACTTTCTTTTGATGTTAATTGTTCCTATTGGCATACTAATGTCCAGAGTCAGCAAGGTGATTCTTGTGTTTCTACTTAAGGATATTCAGGTAGCTAGGAAAATATTTAGTCTTTCTGAATCATGTGTTTATTCTTTTAAAAGAAGCAGAGCTGCTGTTTCCTGAAAATCATCACTGATAGTATAAATACAATTCTTGCATCCTGGAAGCCTGCAGGAAAACATCTCAAAGTATCAAGTCTTTCCCTGTAAAGTCTATAATGTAAACAGAACAGACTTAAGGAAAATCAGAAAGAATTTGCTGCATTATAGCATTTGCAGCACCATAAGCTCTTTCCTATAATGTGTCAGAACTTTAGTCTTAGTTCTTTAGCTGCATCAAAAATACTATATATGTCTTCCCAATAATTTCTTAAATTACAAAATTTGTGCTTTATTTAAGAAATTAATATTCTAATTACCTTTTCACACCAACGATAAGTTTGTCTTCTTTTCCTTCTTGCTTTTATGATTCATTTTCTCTATATCCCATTCATGGAGAATTGGAGAATGAGGTGAGTGCAGAATAAGAAAAAAGATCTTTGTGTTAAAACCTCTTGATAATCTATGGAATAATTAGACATAGTTTGTAAAAGTATTAATATATTAATTGAAAAGGAACTACATATACATTTCTGTATGTAGTTTTTGGTAAGCATGTATGTATAATTTGAAAGTACTGAAATAATTACAGCTCATATATATAGACACACACATGCTCACATAAGTGCTTAAACATAATATTTATTATTCCAAGGTGATTTTTTAGTTTGTTTGTAACAAGTTGGTGAAATTCATTATACCGGTGACCTAGTTCTGGAGAACATTGGAACAACACCCTCTAATTTTCCCAAGAAGTGACATGAATTAATTTGTGGCGGATTGGGGAAGAGGCAGCTACAAGATGAAAATTATGATTAAACGTTAATTACAATAAAAAGTTACAAGTTAATCTGTTTAAAATTGGATTGCAGTCTTATCCCAGAGGTGTTCCTTTGTATTTCCTCTTCATCAGAGGATGTGAAACGTGTATTATCTACTAGCTATCTGGGCTTATTTATGCTATTTAAAATGATTTGTGCTTGTTAGGCTGGTCTAGGATTGATTGATTCCATCAGTCCAGAGTTTCTTTCATCTCTTGTTATGTTTGGGTTTTTTTCCAATGATCCCAGGAGATTACTTTGCTAAATTGTGTAACATTCTTTAGATATTATAACTATGCATTTCATTAGAGAAGAGGTAGAAGTTTGCAGTGGAGAAAATAAGACTTTCTTTTAAATTTCTTTTCTTTTTTGGAATAGTGGGATAAAATGTAGACTGTCTAAGGGAAGGTCTTCAGAGGAATATTTTTATCTTTCAGATAAATACAGAATTATCTCTAGTGTATTATCAGCACAGATGAAAAGGAAAAGAGATTATTAAATAATCTGCCATACTTTAAGTATAATCAGTATCATTGTATAAACTTATAACAACAAACTATATGGAGCACATGATCTAAGATGAGAAGCTGAGAGAACTGGGCTTGTCCAGCTTGGCAAACAGGCTTAGGGGAGACTCCAATAGTAGCCTTCCAACACCTATGAGAAGGCCATTAAGAAGACACAGCCTGGCTCTTCACAGTGGTGCACAGTAGGAAGATGGGAGACAACAGAAATAAACTGAAAAAAAGAGAGGTTCAGAGTGGGTGTAAGGGGAATTTTTTTCATTATGAGGACAGACAAACATTAGAACACATTGTCTAGAAAGGTTGTGCAGTCTCCATCCTCGGAGGTTTTCAAGACCAGACAGAATAAAAACCTGATTTTATCTCCTAGCTGACCCTGCTTTCAACAGGTTGGACTAGAGACCTCCTGAGGTCCCTTCCAGACTACATTATCCTATGATCTTATGAAATAAACGTTAAGTACACAAGAGTGCAATTAGTACCCCAGTGAAAATTACATGGGCAAGAAAACATAATTTAAAAAGAAATGTCAAATATATATTGACCCCTGGAATGTCATGTGTATTTCATCAGAATGTTTTTATCAACAGGAGGTGCAGCATTGGATCTACAGGCTTGCCCACCCAAACCTTTCCGCTGGATTCTTGACATGATGTGGCTAAACCTAGTGGAATTGAGCAAACTTCCACAGTTTGCAGAAATTTTGAATCAGGTGATATCTACTAATGTTCTTTTCAATGTTAACCATTTTCCCAACCATAATTTGTGCTCCCATATTTTACATTTAGAATGCACAAGACGTAGTTAAGAACAAGGCCAGAGAGAATACAGAATAAAGGCACAGAAGTGAACAGTTAGGTAGCATGAATGGGGGTATATTTATTTGCTCTACAGGGGTACATTTATTTGCTCTATGTTTTTTTATCTGCTTTATTGTATTTTGTATTATGGTCATTGAGGTAGAAAGAGAAGAGAACAAGAGCAAAGAACTAGTAAAAAAGGAAGCCAGTGAGAGAGAGACAGAAATAAGGAGAAAGGATAAAAAAGTAGAGGTATCAAAAAGGCTCAGAAAGTTAATCTATGAGTGTCAGGTTTTAAGTTACAATGTTTTATGTCCTAAGTCTGATAGGCTTTTACAAGTAAATTGTTTGCTGCTTGTTTTTAAATGCTCATTTCCATTCCAAGGTTAACATGTTATTCAGATGTGATGAGCTAGCTATAAAAATACTATTTATTTCATTAAGGCATACATGAACAAATATGCACATAAGCTTGTGACATGTTTGTCAATTATTTGCTTTACTTTAGTAAATTTATCTTTTTTTGAGTGTAGTTAAAACAGTCCCTAAGTATTTCTCTTTCTGTACCTCCTAAGTACTCCTTGTTAACCAGGCTGATAGCCAGGACACTAAGTTCTTGCTGTTACAGCATTGGTCAGCCAAGTCCATTTTGTGAAGGCATTTAGTGCCCTGAAGGGTAGCAGAGATTTTAGCTAAATGGTGTACCTGGAAGTGGGTCCTGGCTTTTTCCCAACTCTGTATCAAGGCAAGATCTGGATACATACTGGCCCATTTCCTCCAGGTTTTGGTTTCTGGAGGTATCAAAACAGGATATTGAGTTAGGAGAAAGTTGGAGGAATTCTAGTTAGGCCTTCACTCTGGGTTGTTAGGGCACCAGAACCCAAAATGCACGCCACTGCACACTTGCTAACATTATTTAAATTTAGTCATGGGGTTTTGAATTATGTATTTTCCTTTTAATTTGTAGATTGTAGTGGTTCTGTTATAGGACTTTTCTGGAATTGGTGCAAACAAAATTTTAGACTCCAAAATACTTAGGCAACCATGTTACCCCCAAAGGCCTCTTTTTAAACTAATCTTTTAGCACTAACTTAAAATTGCCATATATTTACAAGTTGAAAAGTAACAGGTGATTTTATTAATAGATAGAGATGGAATCTGGGAGAGTGCCAACTAGGATATCAATAAAAAATGCAAATATGGAGATAACATCTTTTTAATACATATTTGCATCCATTAGATGTGCTGTTCTATTTGGCTCATCATATTAAATACAACTGTATCATTATTCATTTAGATACAAACAGAAAATGATTTAAAGTAAGAAAAAATTGCTTGAAAATGGTATGCCCAGTTCTCAAGAGGTTGCCTGTGATTTTCTTTTTTTCTTGCCAGTTACAAATTTTTTTCTTCTCTAAAAATTAAGTCCTCCAGTCCCAGATGCCTAACTTAATTTAATAAAGCCATATTCCTCTTTTAGATGGCCCTGTTCCTTTTCACACTGTTCCTACTTCCAGCTGTGATTGAGTAAGAGATGGTAAAAAGAAATATGTAATGAAAGCTTAATGATTTTACTGAGTCAACTAACGTCCCTTTAGCTCAGTAACCTATCTCTGGCCGTGGCCTAGCATTGAGAAGGTACCTCCTATGAATACTCTCTCCTAGCATGTGCTCAGGTTGATGTCAGTTAATGTAGAACTGAGCTATTTGTTCATAAAGTAATTTTTTTTCTCAGACTTGGTTTATAGTTCAGAAAGGGACATTTGGTGTTTATGAATCTCTCTGAATTAGTTTCATTATAGGAAATACGTGGTTGGAAGAGGGCCCTTGTATGCTCGTTTCTCACTCCTCTCCCAGTCCATGCTTGGTGTAGGTTGTTCTGAAACTACTATTTGAAACCAAGTCAGTCAGCTGGACAGAGCTCCTGGGCTTATAATAGGCATATAGAACTGTATTTCAGAACAGATGGTATCAGTGTGTTCCTTGTTCTCTTTCCAGTGATCTGAGAACATTGCAGTAGCTGACTCTTCTCAGTCACTGCATTAAAAGCTCAACTGCATAGCAATTTTCACTATGTTCTGTCCACCAGTATCCCTTGTCCTGTTAGGTCATGGGTTCTAAGAGGTGCCTAAATAATGATCATATTTGTGGTCAGATTTATTCTTTCTCAAGTCAAAAGGTTACTAGAGTCTGTTATTTTTAATTTGTAATTCTTTAGCTGGCTGGACTGTACTGGGACAGATTTTCTGTTCCTCTTAGTACTTTGTGATCAGAAGGAATAAATTAATCACAGTATGTTTCTCTTGTAGTGTAGAATCCTTCTGCTAATTATTGATTTTTCTTAATTAGCTGCATGTGTTTGGGAGGGCAATCCATGGATAACTGATTAGCTTAAGAGCCTGCATCTTAATACTAAAATTTCGATTATAGCAATTCAGATGGCATATGTCTTAAATGTTATAGACTCTTAATGTTACTTGTAATATATCCTAATAATAGACTCTCATTAAAATATACATTTACAAGGGGATTTTGCTACAGCTGAAATATATTTATATGTGCGTTAATGTAATATATTTAGATAGCCCATAATGAAAAGGGATGGAAAAGTTGGTTTGATAAAGATGCTCCCGAGGAAGAAATTATACCTGATGGATATAATGATTCACTTGATACCTTTCGCAAGCTTTTACTCATCAGGTGAGCATCTTCAGAAAATTGGGAAATACATACATGGTTGCATCACGTGTCTCAGTCTATCAGTATGCTATTATCATATTAGTGTAATTTTTATTAATTTCTGGGTGACATGAAATATTATTTAATTCACTCACATGAAATATGATTTAATTCACGCACTTCGGAGCTATCATCTGAAGAGTCTAAAAAAGTTATTTCTAGAAAATATTTTTTATAGCTTTGCTTTTATGTCATGACAAATGGAAACTGGGAACCACATTGCAGCCTTCTCCAAAAAGCCACAGAGAAAGTAGAATAATTCAGATAGTTTTCAATTTTTTTTTCATTTCTTTTAAAATGAACTATTTTAAATAACTTTAAATAAATAATTTTTAAAAAAGAGATTTATGAAAATGCAAAACAGGTATTCAAAAGGCCCATGTGAAAAGTATGCTATAAATTATTTTATTGCATCAGCTAAGATCTCTGTGGCAGGACTTGGGATAGAATGTAGTTCCCCAAAGCAGCATTCAGCTGCCTTATGCATGAGATCATATCTTCCTACGTTCATTGTATACTTTCCAAGAGCTACAATAAATAAATCAGAGACACTACAAAAAACCAACAACATTAATTACTAGACCATGATTTGCCTTTGGAGCGGATTCAACCTGTACAGTAAAAAAGGCCAGAATCTGATGGAAGAAGTACTATATTGTTCTATGCTATACACCCTGAAGAGGGAGGGGGAGCATCCAAGTCCTAAGCCTTTAAATAATAAGCCTATAAATGGAAGCTTTGCAAAGTCATATCTTTTATCCAAAAGTAGTTGTCTGGGTTTTTTTTTTTCGTTGGGAAAAATAGAGACTTATCCCCAACACAAATGCAGTCCAGTGCAAAAGATTTGAGTCTGTACCCTAAAAGACTAACAGACCCAATGAAACATCTGCAGAATTTTACTAAAGCACAAAAACAATCTTACATTTCCCTCCTTGGGTCCTCAGATACAAAAGCTCTGTTTAAAATGAAGAATGTCCCAACCTGATAAAGGTACCCAGAACAGAAAATTCCAGTGCAAATAGTTTAGTTAAGGGAAAATTGTAAGCAACTGAAAATATTGAACAGGCATACGTAGAGGGAAGACTCCTAGCACTGTCTATTATTATATCTGTAAAGACAAACCTAAAAACATATATATGAAAGTGTGTATATATATATGCATATTATGAAGCAAAAATCTCTATTTGATAAAAATAGAATTTCTAAGTTAAATCTGGTCTTTGCAAGACCAGAAGAGGCATTGAATTTATATCTTGTTATATATTTTTATTTCTAGGTCTTGGTGTCCAGACCGAACGCTTTCCCAAGCCAGGAAATATATTGCAAATTCCTTGGATGAGAAATATACAGAACCAGTCATTTTGAATTTAGAAAAAACTTGGGAGGAAAGTGACACACAAACACCTCTCATCTGTTTCTTGTCTATGGGATCTGACCCAACTATTCAGATTGATTCCTTGGCTAGGAAGCTTAAATTAGGTATGAAGTAATTATTCATTGTCATGTGTTAAGATACAGAAGGGTAATGTAAGTAATTTCAGAGATATTTTTTTCTGAAAAGTATTTCTTAAATTCTGTTGCACTATTGACTATTCCTGAACCATCGTCTTAGAGATAAAATAACATTTTAAATAAAAGATGGCATGCTGAGGATCGTTCTGTATGCAGTTGGACAGTAATGTTTTCAGTTCTTTTTTTTTAAATTATCATCCTTCCCAGTGATTTTTTTTTAATTCCTAACTATAAGACAATATTTGTTTGTTTGTTTGTTTGTTTTAATTCTGGCATGGTGACAATACTCTTTTCTTGTTTTAACTCTTAACTGCAGGTAACGTAAAAATCAGCAATCTGCTTACAAGATTACTTTGTAACAGAAAATACCCACAAGATCTGCTTTTGTATATTCTGGACTTTATGGCTACATTACATGGAAATTTTGAAAAATTGTGCATACAAACTGAGTTGGAAGTAGATACATATATTCATTATATTAGTCACATTAATATGGTCACAAATGCAGTTTTACAATTATATGTGCTCATTTATGTGGCTTCATTACCTACAGTTACAGAAAAATCTGGGTTCGTATTTCAAATACTGTGGCTTCATTAAAAATTGGCACAAATTCCCATTGACAATAACAACATTAGTCACAGTCTTTCACTTCTACTAACACTGTAAATATTGTGGATGTTTATTTTAATGTTATTTTACAAATTTTCAATGTTTAGAAAATTTATACATAGTAGCATAATATGATAGTGAAGAGATTCTACTTTCATAAGTATATATTTTTGTATAAAAATGTACTTAATTGTGCTGTATTTATATCACTTTTTTTGGACTGAGTTTGAATTCTTACTTTTTCTGAAGAATGTAAGTTCATTAATCATATGTTGTCAAATATATTGTAGAATGTAGGACCATCTCGATGGGTCAAGGACAAGAAGTTCATGCACGCAAATTCATACAGATGTCTATGCAACAGGTGGGAAAAAAACACTGCAATATAAGTTGATTGTCTGTTTTAGCATTCTTTTACACCTCTTTTGCATGCAATCTTCAATATTTTGCATTTTCACCTTACTATCAGGCATATCTCAGGGTAGAAAGGTCTCCCTGAGTGCCTGAGCCTAAAAACATTCCACTGTGGGATATGCATATGCCAGGGGAGTCCAAGTCAATACTTCTGCTAGCAGTAATACTGAGCAGCTTTTTAAAGGTCGCATGTTACCTTCTTATCATTATGCTGTTATCCAAAGGCAAAAGGACATCCTGTCCTGTTTCTATCCTGCAGGACTTGCAGATACCACCTCTTTAGTGGAATTCTTTTTTTTTTCCCCACCCTCCCCTATGAGAGCTACCTAGAAGTTGCATAGCTTCTACTGGGTAAAATGGTGAGTGCACACATAGCTTAAAGCTGTAGATGTAGAAGGATGTGCTGGCTCCTAATACCGCCTCACATTTTCCTCACATCTGTGCTAGTGAGAGGGCCTCTTGCTCACTGGCGATTGTTTTTGGTTCTTTGTTTCTTTAATTGCCAATCCTTTTGGCTTTGAGTCCCAGGATGTCTAAGAATTTCCAAACAATATTTAAGAATTTTTCTCTTAAATATTGTAGTGTATTTTGTTATGGCAGGTGATATTCTCAAACAGTAAAAACATGAGAAGTCTAAGCAGCAGCTCCAGAAAGATGGTAATTGACACCCCAAATACAGTATAAAAGTTACAGTGTAAAGGTAGCACAGTCTGGTCAGCTGGACACTTCAAAGAGTTGTAGACAGTGTTGCAAATGAAGACATACAGCCAGAGTTGCCTGTAAACTCAAAATATCGGGAATTAGTCTTATTCCAGTATTCTGAAGGACTAGAATATCTCTACTAATAGAGAGTAGAAGACTGGAAGAACTATATTGATAAATGAAACGTATTTTTCATCTGACCATAACTGACAGTTAGTCCTTACTAAACCAGGAGTACAGCACTGCTTGTAATATTCACCTAAAGAAACCTGAACTGACTTGTGTTCAGTAAAAGGTTTGATTGGTACTGTATTACCTATTTGTTAACCAGTGTATGCTTTCATACCTACAGTAGGAGTAGCCATCAAAAGTTAGATAAAAAGTTAAAGATGGATTCATTATGAGATTTAAAACTTAACTCCTCACAGTATATGACACCCATGAGATTCCCTGGGTCTCTGTCCTCACCCATGAGACTTCTGGAAGGACAAACGGTGAAAATGAGATCACAACACAGAACACTCTGCAAGAAAAAATGTACTTTTGAGACTGTTGCCGATTCATTATCAAGATTATTTCAGATGTCCATCTGAACTAAACAGTTCTTTTGTCACTTTATTCTCCAATGTTTAATCACAATGAGATAAAGAAATGCTTCTTTCTTTAGACTTCTGCTAAGTCGTGTCCTTTTAATCTGATAGACTGAAGTGCTTCAGAGCCTTTCCAGGACTTCCTGTCTTTCATGCAGAAAAAAGAAAAGGTCAGGCAGTATCAGTTCAGGGAATTCCAATTGTATTGCCTGCTATCTGTGAGATATTTTCATTTGAGGCGAAAATAAGATATCTTGCCAAATTATATTTATTCATTTGACCATAGTACAGTCTGCTTCATTTGTGTTTCTCTATTACAGACAAATATAATACTTGTATATGGCCTTTACTGCACATTTGCTAGACATTACTGTATAATCCAAAGTTCTCTAGCTAATGCAGCCTTGGTTATGGAAGTTCTCTATATTGTATCCCAGTAACCTCTCAAGTCCTACCAAATGTGGTGGCACAGTACTGGAATATAGATGTACACCACTTTGGAAAAAGAGAAAAAAGAAATCTCTTTATAGCAGATGGCATTATTTATGATGTGCAAGTGCACACATACATCTCTTGTACTTCTTTGTGTTCGTATGTCTAGAATGGTCCTCATGAACTTCCAGTTCATTGGAATGGTGAGAACTGGGGCATCCCTGCCTTTTTTTGCCCTCAATTAAAACCACAAGCATACTCAAAACAGCACTCCAGTAGAGCTACTAGTAACAATTTCTGAACTAAATGCCCTGGTAGTGTATACATTTTATAGAGGGAGGGATATGTGAACATCAGATTTGCAAGAACAAAACAGAATTAGTGAATATGAAGACAAATATCTGTGTGTTTTTCCTACCTCTGGCCAAGAGTATATAATATGATTAAAACTGCTGTGCTGTGTTACAGGTAGATAATTTTAAAAAACTGAGCCTGATTCATTTGGAAATGTGACAAACTGATTAAAGATCTTCCTCAAAAAAATGGTTCCCCATAAAAGAAGGAAAAAAAACCCTTCATTTAATCTTTTTTTTTTTAATATCCATCAGTTGACGATAAATATTTCAATTACATTTTGTCACCAAATGTTATTTATTTCTTTTTAAATGAACTAAAACAAAATTGCCAAAATGAAATTACAAGCTGTAATGAAATCCACACATCACTGTTTAGAACTGATTAAATAATGCTCCATTTTAATATCAGGCTTCTGATTTATCAGGCTTCTAAAGTGATGCTACAAAAGCTGATTGAATTTACATTCATGAGCAGAAGTGCAGAGAGATGATAATCAAAACAGAGCTTCCATGCAACTTGAGAGCTGAATAAGATCGAAATTAATATACAAAGGTTGAATTTCATACATATGCATTTATTGCAGATAAACTAATTGCAGTTGAAAAGTTTGAGAGTCTTGTTACCACCTCTTAACACTTACTTTTGATTATGTTATTAACAAATACGTTTGAAAAAAGATGTATTCCTTAGATTTCAGCTGTTATTTTTCCACTCTCATTCTTTTGGATCTGATGGCAGGATTGCTTATCACTGGTGTTTTGGTGGGAGAGGACAGGAATTACTTCTTTTTGCCACTAGGTAGCACTGATACTTTACTTAGCATATTGGCTCTGGTGATGTTATTTTCATTGTGAACAATAGGATGTGGAAATAACTTTTGCACTAACTTTTCCTATTTGCTTTAACTGTGCCAATACAAAATCAAATGATAATAAATATTCAGGAACAGACCAAAAGTCAAAAAAATAAAAAAAACCAAACCCAAACAAACAAAAAACCTAAAAACCAAACATGCAAAAACAAATTTGATTCTAATATAGACAGTTGGTTTTAGCATTATGAATAACTTGTTCTAAATTTTATATGATAATAGTCGATATTCTTCTTTAGGGAGGCTGGGTGTTACTTCAGAATTGTCATCTTGGACTGGATTTTATGGATGAACTACTGGAGACACTTCTTACTGCCGAGATACAGGATGAGACGTTTCGAGTTTGGATAACTACTGAACCACATCCTAAATTCCCAATTACGCTGCTACAGGTTTGTTCAAATATTTAATTCAGGTACCTCGTGCCATAAAAATTATTCAGATTACATGTGTAAATGGAAATCAAATAAATGGGGGGAAAAAAACTCCAAAGCCTAAGAAAAAATGAACTTAGCTTACACTGCAAATATCACTTTAAACAGGAAGGTTACTTACCAGTAACTGGAAGTTCTCAAAGGTGCATTATGTATGTGTGAATTCACACTAATTCTGTACACAGAAACACTTGAATCAAAACTATCAGGCTTTACCTGTATCCCTTTTTGCCCAGCCAGATGCCTTTGTGAACAGAGTAATGCCCACAAATGTACTTAGACTCTTCCAGATTTCCTTATCTGAAATAAAGGATAAAGGGGACAGCACGGACAGCACATGTCAAAGAACATAATCTATCAAGAAGTTACCTGTTTTTCTCTGGATAAACTATAAATGATTGTTCCATAGCTCTCAAGGAGACATTTTTCATCAGTACCAGGAAAATTGCCTAAACTCTTCCGAAGTGCATTTAAGTCACTTATGATGGTTCCTAGCACTCTCACAGCAGGTCACAATGCTAGTTAATATTTAGTGTAATAGCTGTGTGTTGACACTTCTGTGTTCATAGACCCCTTTCCTCTTAAAAGCAGTGGGAGTCTCCTTAGTGGTTCTCATTCTCTCTAAATAAAAATAGATAACATACCTGATATCTAGGAAGTGAAGGGGGGAAAGGGTTACTTTCTCAAATGAATCTAGGTGTCGTAGTTTAACCCCAGCCGGCAACTAAGCACCACACAGCCACTCATTCACTCCCCCCGGGTGGGATGGGGGAGAGAATCAGAAGAGTAAAAGTGAGAAAAGTCATGGGTTGAGATAAAGACAGGTTAACAGGTAAACCAAAACACAAACAAACAAGCAAAGCAAAACAACAATTCATTCACCACTTCCCATCGGCAGGCAGGTGTGCAGCCATCTCCAGGAAAGCAGAGCTCCATTACACATAACAGTTACTTGGGAAGACAAATGCCATAACTCCAAACGTCCCCCCCTCCTCTTTCTTCCCCCAGCTGTATATGCTGAGCATGACGTCATATGGTATGGAATATCCCTTTGGTCAGTTGGGGTCAGCTGTCCCGGCTGTGTCCCCTCCCATCTTCTTGTGCACCCCCAGCCTACTCGCTGGTGGGGTGGTGTGAGAAGCAGAAAAGGCCTTCGCTCTGTGTAAGCACTGCTCAGCAGTAACGAAAACATCCCTGTGTTATCAACACTGTTTCCAGCACAAATCCAAAACACAGCCCCATACTAGCTACTGTGAAGAAAATTAACTCTATCCCAGCCAAAACCAGCACACTAGGAGACAACCTTCAGTACAAAATGTATGTCACCATGGAAAAAAGACTGTGTATAGAAAGCTAATAGTATGGACCTACATTCTCTTGTATTCTCTCAACAGAAAATGAAATCATCCTGCATTTTCAGGAGGTTTATGAATAGTAGGGTATATAAACATACAGTTTGCTAAAAGTGAGAATAGAAAACTGAGAGGGATGCTAGAAGAATCTTCACTGCATTTATCTCAAATGTTTCACATGTGATTTCCCAGCCTATAGTGTCACATTACCTGTTAAAATATTAACATATTCAGAGATTCCAGAAAATGAATAACTGACAAACCAAATGTCAGCTCTTTCTCAGAAGAAAGGAGAGAATGATTTGGGTTTTTTATACAGGACGTTCATCAAAAACTGAACAAGATATCCTCTGAAATGTGGAAAGACTGGTTAGCAATTGTTCCCATTCAGTCCAACATTCTAGTGTGTTCATATGCAGCTAGGTCCTTGCAGAAGGCTGGAGCTCATCTCTGAGACAGCTTGCCTGTGCTCTGCAGCCCAGAAATAAGTTTGTGAGACTGAAGTTGAAAAGTCATTCCTTAAAAATAATTGAAGTTCTTTACCACAAATATGGAGATAGTAAAACTGCCAGGTGAAGTACATATTCACCAGTGTCTTCCATTAAGTGTCTCTCAGAAGTAGAAACACTTCAGAGCCATGCTTGCATTCAGCCTGTGGGCAGCCTGGCATTTACTATGCTTTCAATGCATGCTGCCATGTTACCCAAGCCAGCCAGCCATGTACTTAACTGTTGGAGCCAAAAAAATACTTTTTTATTTGGGTTCCTCCAGCATTTGAAAGTGTCTGAAGGAATACAGATTCTGGTAAGGCCAGGCTGTGTCTGAACTAATCAATTCAAGTGTGCCCATGAACATTACCCAGAATTGGAATGCAATAGTCCATAGGGATAAGTTAGTTAGTTACAATATTCTCTGACGTGAAAACCTGTGCTAACTAGCACTCTTTCAAATAATTTGCAGGCACGGCTTGACAACTAAAATTTTGTAGAAACTATTCCCATTAGGCAGTTCGCATGAAACTAAGGGGCTGTATTCTAAGGGGCTGTGGCAGTTTACTAGCACAAATGCGGATTCCATGCCTGCTGACCAGAGTGCCCAGAAACATTCTCAGGTGAATCTAATTTACTGCTGCACACATAGCCACAGAGTCCAGGGAAGCCACTGAACACAAAGATCTGATCTGAGGCGAGGTGAGATGTCTTTGTATTTACTGTGAAGTCCTGGGACCAGAAATACAAGAGAGTTCTTGTCATCTACTCTGGATAGTTCTCTTCTATCACTCAGTCATTGAATTAGGGATAGAGAACCACATGATGCCTTCTGAAAAGCATGGCAATTGCTTCGAGGTTGTTCATGAAAATTCTTAGATCCACGGACGAGTGTCAGTGATGGTTCTGACCAACATAAACTGAAGGTCTATGTTCAAAATCTTAAAGTAATCTATATTACAGAGTTTTGTGGCCTAATCTAATATATACTCCTTTTATGCAGTTTATAGTAAAACTACATATCAACCTTTTATCTACAATGCTTCAACTATTTACATTTTATTTATAACTAATAGTTGTGACATTTTTGTATGTTGCTGGTTTTGTTCAGTAAACAAATCCAATTCCTTTATCTTTTTCGCATGACAGATTGCTATAAAGTTCACAAATGAACCTCCCCAGGGTGTACGTGCCAGTTTGAAAAGAACATTTTCTGGAATTAATCAGGATCTGTTAGAAGTTAGCAATATGCCTATGTGGAAACCCTTGCTTTACACTGTAGCTTTCCTGCATTCTACTGTTCAGGTATTTCTTACAAGATTTGCAAATAGAGTTATAATATATGGTGTCACTTTTACAGAGGTTCCTGACAATACACATTCTGATATTTATTGTAGCATCATGTTGCAGGGCTGAAGCTTTAATTTCTATAATCCGTATTTCAAGGTTCTTTATTCTCTTAATTGTTTTATAAACTTTACACACTTTTCATACTATGGGCATTTAGAATGAGGATTTTTCTCATCTAATTTTAGCTGTCCAAAAGTTAGTTATTCAATGTAAGGGAAAAAGCTCTCTCTGTAGTCAATAGAAATAGAGAAGCACCTTGAAAAAGAAAATAATCTTTTCTGTCTTAGCTGTCTCTCTATAAAAGAGTGAATCATTTTCTGGATATATATCACTCTTTCTGTCCACTGATTTTAAAGGCAATCCAGATGCCCACCTTAGAGTAGCTGTCTACTTTCTAGATGGCTAAAATTAAATAAAATTCCATCACTTAGTGTCTTGTTTTTATCTTATTTTTATCTGTGTCAATGTGTTTTCTACATGAATTCCAATGTGAGCACAATATCTATGCTTTGTACTTTAAAGATATGTAAGTTTTGAGATCACAATAAATACCAACATTTTGAGCTCTCTGAATATACCTTCTTTTCAGCAAGGATCTCAAAATAGTTCTAAAATGCTATTTAAGCCTTAGGCTCTATTGAGCTGCTCGTGTTTTCAGTGTAGCAAAGATGGTGAAAGACAGACGATTTGTTGAGGTCCCTATTAAGTTACAGTATTCTGCATTATTTTCCTCCTTCTACCTTTTTATAAACAGTGAGAAAGTTGTTCTGTGTACTGCCTCAGGATTATACTGTTCTTGTGGAACTAGAAGACCTAAGTTTATTCGACCATCAGTACTTTTAAAAAACATTATAGCTATTCATCTGTTCAGAAAATTTATTTATAGATTTCCAATCACCAAGCAATATATACATTGCCCTGCTTTTAAACTGACCAATTCCTAATATCCTTTGGTGACAAGATCGCTATGAGAAATATAGCTTAAGAAGTAATTCAAAGAATTACGCAGAAAATCATTATACCTTTCTGCAGGGTATTATTGGTTAATGCTGTCTCATCTGCTTATAAACAATACCTGATTTTGAAAAGATAAATGTTTTTTTTCCGTTCCAGTTCTTTTTAAATATTGTAGCTAAGGTGCCTAAATATTACTTAACTAGATGTCAAAGACTGTCAGTCATTGTTGACCTGGTAATTTAAACTCTAATAAATATGTTATCACTTAGTTATTTTTAGAATGTCAGTATTACACTGTTTATTCATTTAATAAATGTCAGCACTATTCAGCAATTTAATTCTTAACTTCTTGGATTAGTTTATTCTACGTTCTGAAAAAAAATCATTGAGCAATATAACTGAGGTGGTTAAAATAAAGTTGTGAGAAATCTAATAGTGTTGGATGTTTAAATTGTTAGGGCTGCAGATTATAGTCTCTTACTTTTATAGTCAACTATTTTTCTGTTCCTGCAAGTGTTATAATTTTATTTTCAAATATGTATACAATAATAGATTTGAATAATGTAGTGGTGGCACCCTTATAATAAAGTCATGAATTTTGAAAAACATATTAAAACAATACAGGGAAACAGTAAGACAAAAGGGGCAACCTAGAAGCCTTTGGATAACTGAGCATTAATACAGGAGCTTGAAAAATTGAAACTATCATTAGTAGACCATGTATGTAGAAAAAAATGCTAAAATGTAGAACTCAGAATTGTTGAGTGTGCTGAAAATGCAGAGATTTGGTAATTCTTTACATTAATTACTTAATATAGGAATCTGATCATCCACACAGACATGAGACATTTCAAGCCTATAACTGATACAATGATTAGTAAAGGTAGCAATAAATGATTCTGTTGCTTTTTCTATAAATACTTATCTCTCATGGTGTAACTTAATAATAAACTTTGTTTTTTACTGATGCGTATGAGGCACACAGCTGTTTTTCTAGGCTAGCTTTCTTCTTCAGTTCAATTCTTTACTCCACTATTATTATTATTATTGAACTTTAATAATGAAACAAAATTAAATGTTGTTTCATAAATATATATTTGGTTTTCATTGTATTCCTAAGGAACGACGCAAGTTTGGGCCTTTGGGTTGGAATATTCCCTATGAATTTAACTCAGCAGACTTTACAGCCAGTGTTCAGTTTATACAAAATCACCTAGATGAATGTGACATCAAGAAGGTGAATACTAAAATTTGCATACAGTATATTTAATTGCTTTGTACAGCACCTGTAATTTTTTCTTCATGATACTATTTATAATAGTTTATTCATTGCTATTCTTTCAGTGCAGCTTCTAATGATCTAAGTTACAGATTCTCTGTAAGACAGTCAAGCTGAAATATTTTGTGCACTATCATCCATGTAAAAATACGTAATAATTAAGAACTTCAAAATTTGATCTTGTTTTTTTCCGTACCATATCTAAAATATTAACAGGTCTATACAATATATGTTTTGGAAAGGGAGCTAAAATATTTAGAGTTTGACAGAGCCAGTCAAACTTCTCTATGGCTGCCATTTGGTCTTCTACTATTTGTCAAGGAATAATGTAATAGAATAGCCATTCCTTGCAAAGCAGCACTTTGTCAATAGAGAAAGATGAGAAACTGGGGGAAAGGGGAAAAAAAAAGAAAGGGGAGAGGCAGTAGCAGCTAAGAGTGATTTCAGGTCACACAAGAAATAATGAGATATATTTCTAATAGAAGGATCAAACCCATCTCTACTATAAAATTATAGAGCTGAGCTCAGAAAATACATTAGAAATAAAGTTTTTTTTTTCTTGCAACAATGACCTTTTCAGCTTACATTTCAGAGCCTTATGAGCTTCAGATGATATCGAAATTACAGGCTGGATACCTTCTTTTTACATGTTATAACTACAGCCTTTTATTTACATTACTTGCATCCAGGGGATATCATGGAACACAGTACGCTACATGATTGGAGAAGTACAATATGGAGGCCGAGTCACAGATGACTTTGATAAGCGTCTTCTTAATTGCTTTGCAAGGGTGAGAGATCTTGAAAATACAGTTATCTTTCATTTTTAATGGCAGCTGCAATACAGAAATCAGAAGACCTTTCTGCTGAATATGTACTTCTTCACCAGTTATAAGACTTTTCAGAGTGAAATGATTTTTTTGGCAGTGACGTTCTTCCCATTGGTTTCTCATTAGTGAGGAGCAGAAACTATTAAAAAGACTTAGCTGGAACTCAAACTTAGAAGACATAGCTTTTAATGATTTACTCGTGTATTCAAGTAAAATTAGATGTAGTAGCTAAAACAAGAACTCTAATTCTCCAAGAAGAAAAATGAGATAAAAAAAAAACTTTGAGTAGCAAAGTAATTGTGTTTTTTTTCCTCTGGATTTTTCACAGGTATGGTTTAACGAAAAGATGTTTGACAGCACTTTCTGTTTTCACACTGGATATAAAATTCCAGTGTGCAAAACCCTGGAACAGTATTTTGAATCCATCCAGTCACTCCCTGCCATCGACAGCCCAATGGTCTTTGGTCTCCATCCTAATGCTGATATTACGTAAGTAGGTCTCAACATATTGAAAACAAAGACCCTTTCTTTTAGCATTTGGGAACAAATCCCTATGAAATGCTTAATTAAAGTATATTTCTCATAGGAAATCTGGAATTCATGTGAATTTCACTACTGAAGTGGAACACTTGATGTGTATGTACATGATTATGAATGCAGTATCTTCAGCTACATTTTACATGTTCTTTTAAAGCAGTCAGAATTCTTATTACTTACTCCTCATGGTTTTAGAATTTTTTTTTAAAATTTGAAAGCATTATAAAACTTTTATATGAACACATGATACCAGGTTCTATACAATTCAACTAGAGAAAGTTTCTAATGTTTGCCTTCTGTTCCAAGTAGTGTATTATTTTTTTGTGCACACTCATTAAATGATTCTCTGGATTGTCATTTGGTTTACAGCACACCTTTGGATGTAACTACAACCTTTTGCTGCCATCAGACCTGCCATTCCCATTATTTAAAAGAGGCTTTTCAACCTCACCAAGTACTAACTCCATTTAAAATTTTATCTTTGACTTAATTCACTTTTTCATTCCAGATGATGTGTGTAACAGCTTGGCTTTTATTTCCTTCTAATATGCCTTGTGAAAGGATATGAATCATCATCATGTTTTTTTCACTGAAGTTCTTAGTAATTCTGCCATGAATTATTGCATTTTCACTATGTCCACATTCATTGTTTCTTAACACAGCTTTTTGTATTTTTAAACAAAACAAATGTTATTCAAATGCCCAACAGCTGTGGAAACCTAATATCTTTTAACACTTTTGGACAAAACAATAATTTCCCACAATTTTTCAGTCTCAAATTTGAAAGGCTGATGCCATATCAAAAGCCCAGTATTCTAAGCATGCTGTGAGAACAGTACACAGTTTTACTGTCAACTCTGCCTAGTGCCTACCATTGTAAATATATACTTCTGAAGAAAAGAATCTAAGAGTAGATTCTGTTTCAAGTCATTCTCTGATACTTGCAAGACTGATTAAAGAAGAGCCAAGATTTAACAGAGAACTAAACAAAGTCCTAAAGAGAGACATGCTTCGGATCCAAAATTAGGCTTGTAGGAGCGCTAATTTATAGGAGTAAACTTGAAACTAACAGTGTTGGGGGAGCTTTAGTGAGTAGGAACAGCTCTTTCATTTCTCTCTAGTACTGAGTTTTTCTTCCCCTTGGTACATCAGCATATTCCTGTTAATTTAGTCCTTTTTCTGGAGATTTTCCTTTGTAGGTATTTCTTTAGAGTTTGGGGAAAATGTTCAACAGCTTCATGCTTTTTTCCATGTCTTATCACAGTCTGTTATAGGCAGCTATGCACATGGACTGTCTGTCTGAATTTCATCTTTGACACACAGACCAAATGGATTAGCATCCCGTACAATCCCATAAAAAGTTGCATTCAAATTCCCCTTAAAATATCCTATTAAGTCATCTCAGAGTATGCAGAAGGCTAACTGCTAGAATTGGAACCTTGAGACAGCCAGGACCTCTCCATGTTACTATTACTGAGGACAAGAAAGACCTTATCTCCCACTGGTTTAGTGGGGCAGTTTTCCAGTTCAGCCAAAAGCTCGATCCATTGGTTCCAATTGTAAGACTTCACTGAATGTCAATACTTTAATCCACTTGGGATTAACATCTGAAGTCATTGCAACTGATTTTAACTTGCTATATGAACCATAGGCTTTGCAAAGGCCTAGTTAACAGGTACCTGAGCAGGCAAGGAATATTCTCACAATCTTCTGTCAAAACCCCTTCTCCAATTGGTTCCATACTGAAGCCTTAAATCTAACTGAACTTTTGTAAAGTTACTGCAAGCTGTTATTAACCAAGTGAAGACAGAGCAGAATCTCCCATTGTCCCTTGGTGAATGTGAGGTTTTGAATACCACGTTGCAAGAGATATTGCTGTTTTCTACACAAAGCTGAGGTAATGTTTCTGTCCAAGTGCATTTGTTCTTAGTTTTAACTTCCAGTACAGAAAATTCCTGATGGCAGAGACTCCAGCTATCAAACTATGATAGTTTGTCGAATCCAAACTCTGTAAGAAAATATCCTTAGTAATACTTTTTGGAGCAAATCAAAATCCATAGAAAATTCCTTCTTTTTTTCTTCTTATGACACAATTTGCTTTGCAATACTGCTTCATAGAAAAACAATATGAACAGGTATAAAGTGCTTTATCTTACATACTTTTAGGCAAAATTGACACTGTAAATTAGGTTCATTTAATGTTGCTTTAGCTTCCTTTACAGTTACCCAAGACTTCCTTTACTGCAGTAGAGAAAAATAAATCCTTGTAAAATGCAATTCCTCTGATCACAAAGCAGACATCTAAAATACATGAGCTGAATCATGCTTCTTTGCATTATCCGTAAAGGACAATCTAGACAAACAGCTGTTATGTAGACATCTACACTTAGATGTCTAAATGTCATCAGGGACACCCCATCGTGTATATCTGATTTCCTTCCCAGGAACATGGTACTTCCTCTACAAACCTGTGCAATCTTTTTTTCATTATTGTTTGCATCTGTACTTCAACATTTTATTTGCAATGTAAAGGAAAGTCAGGTTTTCCAAAGCCCAGAAAAATTTTGTTTCGGAGTGTCTTTTATATTCATTGTGTCCCACTGTTATGTGAATGAAATTTCTCGTTTCTATTTTCTCCTCACTGGAATATTATTTTTAATTATGTACACATTGAGATGTGTCTTTTTGTCTTTTCTATTTTTATCTACAATAAAACTCTTCTCGTTCAAACTGCTATTGCTATTCATGTTTGCTTCTTTATACAAGATTCAGATGATCATTTCTCCTCTCCAGAAGATTCCTAGCTTGTGTCATTGAAGAACAGAATATTACTTACCTTTGATTCTGCTCCTTTGAGGTTATTTTTCAAAAACTCTCTCTGCTTTTCCCCAAAGTTTGCATATTGCCTTCTTTTTAAAATTGTTTCTATTTTTGTTTAGATTTGGGGGAAGACCATTCATTTTTATAATTCTGTAATATTTTATAATTTAATTGAGGTAATAATCATGGGACCTATTCCTTCCACATAGAAAAGTCTGACAGCAGTATTGGAGGAACAGTACTTGCAGTGTGAAGAGGAAGGTTCACATCTCTTTTATCACTAGTTGTTAGATCAGCAAGACCCAGCGTAAGGGTTACAACCACCAGTATGTCATCCAAATTAGGAATGAAGCCATGGGTCCAAGAGAAATTTGATTTTATCCAACTTTTCTGTTCATATGTGGTCTTGAATAAATCTATCATTCTTTAAATGGAAAAAAGCTTGAGAGTTTTGCCAGACAAAATCCCCACCATTCCTACATTCAGAAGCAGAAATTATATCCTCTTGGAAGCAAACTATCAGTAGGATTTCTTCTATTTTCCTGATGTATAGACTTTATAATTGCATTCACAAACAGTTTATGTTGAAATGCTGCAGTATCTGGCTTCTGTAGTCTTACAATACTATCTCCAACGCGTAGATGCTTTAGGACTTCACGTGTTCTATCCTGTGGCACAATCCTTGGTTTCATTTCTAATATAATTATGTATGACAAAGTAATAGAAGGAGATGGGTGTCATATGAAGGTAGAAAAGTAAAACTGACATGCAAAATTATGCTTTGAGTCAGTATAAATTTATGTTCTGAGTCAGGCTTAGGCTGTATGTTCCTCATGTAGCTGATTCCATAAGGTAAAAGTAGGCAATGCCAGCACTGCGATACCAACACATACACTGCTGTTTCGTTTCTTACTGCCTCTATGCCACTAGATAGCATTACAACAAAAGTACTCCTATAATTCTGCTTGTGTTGAAGGACTGACGTGGTCTACTATCTTTTACCATCAAATGCCACATGAATTTAATTCACTTTTTTGTATTGACTCAGAACATAAATTTACATTAGCACTGCCCATGCTGTACTATGGAATAGAAGGTTTTAATCTCCAACGTTGTAAATCTAGCAGCTTTTATCATTAATCCTGAAATACCTCAAGGCAGAATGAATTTACTATTTAATAAAGGGGCATCTTGCAGAGTTATGCCTCCACCTTTTCCTTCTTCTGCATTCCACTTTTAAGAAGTAACTAAATGAGGGAAATATTCTTCCTTGTTACAAAACTTGTGTTGCTTCTTCCCAGCAAATAGCTGTTTAGAAGTTCAGGCATAAGCCATTTTCTTCCCTTTCCTTAGAATCCCTAGAAATCATATGATAGGTTTTTCTGCCACCTCATGTTCTCAAAGGTTGAGAAGCAGCCTGCGGAACTCTTTCTTCTTCATAGCCCTGAATTAGAAAAACAGCAACTGTATAACAGGGTGTGTAGAGGGAAGTTCATATTCTTTACAACCATGGAAAACCACACGTTGTTCACTAACAGTGTGTTCAGCTTGGTGCAGGACGCAAAGGAAAACAATTTCTTTGGGGAGTTTTGATTTAACCTGGTGACATTATGTTTTTTGTCAACTTTCAAGTTGTGTGTTCTACAAAATACCCTTTTAACTATTAAAAAATCCTGTGTAATTTATAACATATTTCTCATCCTCTCAGACACCAAAGTAATACAGCAGCTGATGTTCTAGATACTATTACCAACATTCAGCCTAAAGAAAGTGGTGCAGGACCTGGAGAAACTCGTGAAGCAGTTGTTTATCGTTTAGCTGAAGACATGCTAGAGAAACTTCCTCCAGATTACATACCCCATGAGGCAAGCTAATCTTGTTTTCTTACTGTTCTTTCTCGTGAGTTTTCACATAAGACATTCCAAAAAAGAAACCCTGAACTGTGAAGAAAGCTCGTATAGCTAGTAGCAGATTCAAGCAAAGAACCAACATCTTTATTGCTATCAGTGTGAATCGTTATGAGGCTTTTTTTATTTAAAATCAAGACATCTAACAATTGATCATGGAGATATGTCATGGAGACTATGCTTGGACTTCCAAAGCTGCATGTGAAAACACAGAAAAAAAATCAGTCTTGACTTTTTGTGATAGCAGTCTCCTGGGCCTTCTGGGTGAAGGCCTGTTCTAGCAATCATGAATAATTGGGTAGTATCAGATGAAAAATAAAAATAAAAACTGCAACAGTTTTAAGCGGATAAATGTTAGTTGAATAATGTGAAGTACAAGTCTACTATTTACTTTTCTGAACACAAGAAAGTTAAGATGTCATATATGACAACAATATTTCAACATTTCAGATTTAACTAAATTCCTTCTGCGCTCCTATATTTTAGGTAAAAGCTCGTTTAATTAAAATGGGACAACTTAACTCTATGAATATTTTTCTTCGGCAAGAAATTGACCGAATGCAAAAGGTGATCACAATACTCCGCAACAGTTTGAATGATCTTAAATTAGCCATAGAAGGAACTATTGTTATGAGTGAGGCAAGTAAAAGCATGTTTACTATGCATGGAATACTCTATTTTAAACTATTACCTTGATTACTTTAGTTCATATATTACAATTTCATTCCTTCAGAATTTGAGAGATGCACTTGATAATATGTATGATGCTCGAATTCCTCAAGTATGGAAAAGAGTATCTTGGGATTCTTCAACACTTGGCTTCTGGTTTACTGAACTTTTGGAAAGAAATAATCAATTCTCTACTTGGATATATGAAGGAAGACCAAATGTGTTTTGGATGACTGGATTCTTTAATCCACAAGGTAAGAGTACTGAAAGGACTTGAGTAATAATTTATTTAATCATAATTTAATGGTTTTTACTACATATCTAATTTAATATTACACCTAGAAAAAATGTTTTCATCACTGACAGAATACGTCATAGAAGATAAATGGATTCAAAAAAGAGGTTAGATAAAGTCATGGGAAACAGGTCCAATGGTAGCAAAAACCATGACTGTCCAAACTTAACCTTCAAGTTGGGGGGTCCCTAAGCTCCAGATTGCCAGAATCTGGAAGAACATAGAAGGGAAAGGATTTATGTGCCATTTTGCCTGTTGTAGTATTATTTCACTAAGCATCCACCTTTTTCTTGTGTCAGAGACAGGATGCTTGTACAGATGGTCTTTTAGTCTGACCCATAAACACAGTTTTTATATTACAAGAAGGAAAACATGTAGTTAACAAATAAAAAACTTTATCTTGTTGACATATTGTAGCATGATATGATACAGCTTCTAAAGAAAATAGGTTTCTCCTGTGGTTTCAAACTGTTTTAACTTGTTCCAAACTGTAAGTTGTGAGTATGGAAGAGCTTTAATCTAGAGCAATATGTTATTTATATGCTGTACAGTAGCAACAGAAAGAATTTTTTTACAGTAAGAACAATCATTCACTGGAACAACCTCCCCAGGGACATGGTAGAGTCCCCATTGCTGGAGGTTTTCAAGATGCAATTGGACAGGGTGCTCGATAATCTCATCTGAGCTCTCTTTTCCATGAAAGCTTGGACCAGGCAATTTTTCAAGGTGCCTTCCAACCTGGGCTGTTCTATCATTTTTTGAAGGTGCAACTATACCAGAACTTACAGCAGTTATCTATCATCTTTCACAGAGAATCATCAAACTGTATTTTTCACAGTGTTTCCATTTCACATGTTATTTAATGAACAGTTTGTCCAAATTAATCAAAGATATACGGCAAAGTACAAGTAAAAGTTATCTATCATTATCTGTTATAGCTTGGTATATTTATCATTTTATAGGAAAGAGGAAGAAAAACAAATTGTAACCATCTTAATGAGTAACAAAACCTGTTACCTTATTAGATGCATGTTCATAGAAGAATCTCATTTAGCCTAAACAACTTGTCCATACAAAATTCTCATGAGAAACTTCTCCCATGTAACAGCTATGAGGTGTTTTTTTTCATTAGGATTAACCTCTGAAATCCTTGAATATTTTGAGTTATCTTCACTTTGTGATGCTTCTATTCTTACTGGCCTTTCTATGACCAGGACTGTAAAAAGTACTAATATCAAAGTCTTTTTTGGAGTTGCTCTCAGAAACAGTTGAGGTGCCTGGAGCACATCCAAATTATCATTAAAAGATGGTATTGAGATGCCAGTCAAAAAACATCATTCCATTTGTATCATAAATGGCACAGCTGGTAAGCATACTGATCTCCACTGATTCAAGAGCAGTACTCACGGAGGTGTAAAAGAAGATAATGGACCAAATTCTTTTGACCAAAGAAAAAATTTAGCCTAATAGCAAACACGCCTGAGACACAGATGGTCTCAAACTTGATGGTTGCTTCAGCCTCTGTGTTCCAAAAAAAATCGGTCCTGTAGGTGGAGAAAGAAGTCTGCTCAGCGCAAAAGGTGTGCTGTGCCTAGGGGTGAGGTAAGTATAGTCACTGTATTCATAATACTGCTCACCAGGAAATTCTGAGTAAATCAAATCATACGGTAAAGTTAAAAAGTGACTGGTGTGAGGCAAATCAGAAATTGGACTACCCTGTGCTGCCATCGCAGGAAAATCTAGACTGATTGCACAGGTGAATCAAGCTCTAAATCTATCATAGCATTGGCAAATACATGATAATGTTAAAACATGAGGAATGTATTTTACCAATTCAGTGGAAAAATCTATTTATAGTACTATAAAGTATCACCAATACTTGTATTTAAACCTGTTGTGATTTTTTTAGCAATTATCAGTCTTTGTCTCCTATAAATTATCATTGTTAAGGGAGGATGTATGTTAGTGGTGGTGTGATATTCCATTCAGTAGACATGGCAGTTGGAATGAACAGGCTTATAAAAAAACAAATATCATATTATAGAGATATAATTAATTTTTAGCAAAATTTAGAAGCCTAGATCACACTGTTTTATTTTTATCAGAATATAAAGTATTTGCGAAATGAATACATGTTCATTTCAAGTACTACGTTAATTGTATTTACGTCACATATGAATGTTTTAGCTGTGACAAATATCTTAGCTTCTAATGGGCTTTGTCCTAATTAGCATGTTAAACCACTTCTTAAATCTTGAAATGCTGTCTTCTGCTGCATGCCCACGTACTTTCATGATTTCCCATCTGGCTTGTCAGTATTTCAGTCGGTGGTTTCACCTCCTTGTAGATACTTGACAGCCCACGAAACGCTAGTCGTCATCTCCTTTGTCCTATCAAGAAGGAACTGATGCCATTTCATCTTTAAGTCTTTGCAGTAATCACTCTGAAGTATGCAGTTCTCTACTGTTAATTTTTCTCTCTTTGCCTCGGTCTCTTTCTGACAACTCCAAGTAGTTCTTCATCTGGATAGCATAAAATAGCAGCCATTGGTTTTTCGGTGACTGCATTGTCATCTTCTGAGACGCTTATACAGAAAACAACTAGGTATTTGCTACAAGTGTTTCATTTTTGTAGCTTTTTCCTTTATAACACATCCAAACCTCTTTGCTGCCCAGTTATTTGTCATCTTTGGTTTATAGTGTTCAGCCCTTTCTCTCTCAAATCTTTTTTATTGCAAATGTCTGTAAAGTCTGTTCAAAACAATACTCAAAAAAATCACCTAACTTGTTGCTTGATTGTGTCATCCTCTACCTTCATTTCTGGCTAGGACTCCCTTTTCTTCACTAACAAAACATAAATTTTTCATCCTTCGTAGGCACTGCCTTGTCTAGATTCCCCAAACTCATATAGTTATTTTTATTATCACATTCAAACATGCCTTTTCTGTTTTCCATCAGTGAAATTTACTTTATTTTTCTACCTTCATTTAAAATAAAAATTGCCTTTTTCCTAAGTTGCCTTTACATAAATATCAGCTCATATAATTGGTATCTTGTCTGCCTTCAAATTCCTTCTTGAAATACAAATCTACCATGGATCCTGTAGGTGATTGCCTAATGATAATTTGTAAATCAGTATCCTGAGCAAACATTTGTTAACTGAGTAATTCGGTATCCAAAAAACAGAGTATATTATTTTATGTGCCATTTAAAAATATTTTTCTGTGTAATGCATTCTATGCCACTTATGTCATTTGTTCCTATTTTGCCCCCAAAGCAAAGTTTGCTGTCGTTAGTCAAGGTGCTCATTTTCAATAGAACTCTGAATATCTGCCTATAACATTCAGTGCAGAACCATGCAGATAACCAAGCAAGACTTTTTTTGTCATGTGAGATATATGCTAAATCTCTGGCTTAATTTCTTAAGGATTCCTGACAGCAATGAGACAAGAAGCAACTCGAGCACATAAAGGCTGGGCTTTAGATACAGTTACAATACATAACGAAGTGCTAAAGCAAAACAAAGAAGAAATCACAGCACCTCCTTCTGTATGTATGACATGCAAAGATGTTGCAGTATTAGTTTTGGTATTTAATTTATATTGTGTATCATTCAGTCACTTTGGATTGCTAGAGGAAAAAGTTACTATTGTCTTCACCTCACTGGATTTGCTCAGCATTGAAGATAAATAACAATAAGCATGAAGATTTTAATTTTGTTATGTTGCAGTTACAAAAATATTTTATTAAAAGAACCACTTCATTGTACCACCTCTTAATTTTTGGAATTTATAGTAAACTTTAGATCAAATTGTGTAGTGTATGGGCTTTATTAAACAACTTTTATTGCCATCCATTTCAGTAGCATTATCTTCTGAAAAAGGATGATATTATAGTTTAAAATTAAATCATTTGAAAAGATTCAATGTCAGATATTTTTTACTATAAAACATATGTTCCTTTTAATGGTTTAAGCGAAGTACTTATTTTACAAAACATGCTTTATTTTGTGTGATGTGTCTGCTTACTCTCCCCACAGGAAGGAGTATATATCTATGGGCTATACTTGGAAGGTGCAGGCTGGGACAGACGAAATAGCAAACTCACTGAATCTACAGCAAAGATTCTTTTTGTCCAGCTGCCTGTGGTGCATATATTTGCTGTTAATACAGCCAGTCCTAAGGATCCCAAGCTCTATGTTTGTCCTCTTTACAAGAAGCCCAAGAGGACAGATCTGAACTATATTACAGTGATCTATTTAAGGACAGTAGTGTCTCCAGACCACTGGATATTGAGAGGAGTGGCTCTCCTGTGTGACATCAAGTAAACTGTTTTTCGTACCATAACAGAAACAGAATATATGGCACATGTAACCAATTACATGTGTAATTCTTCTACTGCTTTTTATTTGGTGGCCATTGGTCATTATACTAGATCTGTCATTTCAGTCTTGGCTTAATGATTTTTTTTCTCTGCTTCGAGTAAATCCAGTTTGTCTTGGCTAATTGGTGATAGTTTTAAAGTAAAGTTTCAAAATAAGTTCACTGATTGTAGTCTTTGATGTTTCCATTATATTACTTTAAAAAGGAATATTTGCTTTAATAATACAATTCATGTAAAATAAAATGTTGTTAAACCTTAAAAGAGAAAAACTTAGCTTTTTCACATTCTTTCTCATATACAGCTTTTTAGCTTGTGTTTCAGTGACATATGATGACAACAGAAGACAGTATAGAACATCATAACAAAGTTTAAGTTGTCCTAGATACAAGTTTTAAAATATTCCTGGATTCTGCGTGATACATACGTTATTTTCTTTGACTCTGCAGGAAACTTTATATTTAAGACAGAAAAATATATTTGATCCATGTTTTTTGCTTGGGGTTTCTCAGGGTTCACTTGGTCTTGTTAAACTATACAGATTAAGTAAAACTACACCAGGAATGTTTGTGTCTGGAATATCTGACAGAGACCAGTACAGAAGTAGAACAGCGCCAACTACTTAATACGGATGGTTTTGTAATTAAAATAGAGATTGTAGATAATAGATTATCTACAAGTTCAATTATTTTCCTGCATCTCATCTCAGCTCTAAAATACAGGCTGGACTCCTTGGAGTGGCTATCACAGCATTATTCTGTGATAAACCTGATGAACATCCATGAATTTTCCAGACATAATTAGTATTAAACTAATTCTATGCATGTAATACTAAACAAGATAGGCAGTCTATGCTCTTTCTTTAATAATCTGCATAAAATGTGTTCTTCCTTCAGATACCTTTATTTGGCAACACAGTTTTTCACTTATACCCCATGACTGGACTATGTTCCTCCTTTTGCAGTTTAAGAGTGATCAAATGCATCTGCTGTGGCAAAGTGCAGCTACTACTTGATGAAGTCCTGGGGCATCTAATGGGATGGTAAAAGGCTCCTCTTGAGTTAGAATCCACAGCTTTCTGTTGGAGGTCACCATCCCAGGATATCCTCTTGCAGAAAGGCTGCGGCATATAGGAAATAACAATACATAGACACAAAATGATGAGCATAGTAACAAAAAGGAAGATCTCCAAATGCAATTAAGTAAAACATTTCTTCTCTCGCCTCTGTAGACTTACTTAGATCCAAATACAACAAACAAGGTAAGGTGTTAGGTAAAAATACACAGAAATTGTATAAGTTAAAAGTTGTACCACAGGACTACATGTGCATAGAGGGGGAAAAAAAAAATCTGACCGTGCAACTGCAAGAGATTTTGCTCCAAGTAACCAAGAACCTGATGACAGTACTTGTGGTGGGTTGAACCTGCCCAGCTGCTTGCTCACTCCCCCCTGCCCCAGCAGGGTGGGGGAAAGAATTGGAAGAGCAGAAGCTGAAAACACATGGGTCAAGATGAAGACAGTTTAATAAGTGAAGTGAAGCAAAGCCGCACACACAAGCAAAGCAAATTAAGGAATTTATTTACTGCTTCCCACTGGCAGGCAGATGTTCTTCCCACTTCCTGGGAAGAAGGCCCTCAGCACACATAACGATTTCTTGGGAAGACAGATGCAATAAGCACAAATATCCCCCTTCCTTCTCCTTTCCCCAAGCCTTTGGTGCTGAACATGACATCATATGGTATGGAATATCCCTTTGGACAGTTTGGGTCAGCCATCCGGGCTTTTTCCCCTCCCACATTCTTGCGTGCTCCCAGTCTACTCGCTGCAGGGGCAGAGGGGGAAGAAGTTCATATCCAAAAAACAGCACAACAACTATAGTGTATTCATTCCTAAAGGGTTTTTTTCCTGGTCTGGCCTTTCAGCGTAATTACAATGGGGAAACAATGTGTAACTCTGTGAACGCCTCCACAGGTGGAAGATGTGCATTGCCACATTTACAAGTGAAAGTCTATATGGAAAAATACCAGGGAAGGTGCAAATTAATAATGTGCTGAGTTACATAACTTACACTGAAGAGGATTTTATTCTCCATCCTGTATAATACCAAGAATAGAGGTGAATAGTATATTGTTGATCTCAACTGTTTCATATATTGCATCAGATTCTTGAGAGCATCTGTGTCCTCTGTTTGTCAGAGTCCAATTGCCATTTCCCATCTCCTCTGAGCGTGTATGGGAGTTTGTTCCGCTCTGTTTCCTCAATACCATCAATTAGCTCATTACTTCCAGGTTACAATGAATGTTAATTTCCATATAGCTTTCCAGTTAGTTTATGGAAATAATCTATGTTTTGTGACAGCAACAATCTACTATCTATCCAGAAGGCTCCTTTTTTGTCTTTGCGTGCTTTAAGAATATTCACAAAGTATTTCTCTGTCCTACTCGTATGTGGGACAGTAAATTCTTACACTTAATTTGGTGACAGCCAGCTCTTCAAATATCTAACAGGGTGCAGTTAATTACTTGAATCACCACAAATTATTCCTCCCAGCCGACATAATCTATAGGAATTCAAGACCTCAATTCAAGACCTTTCACTCCCAGGAATGCTCTATACATCCAGGTTATTGTAACAAGCACTCAAATTCCTCAGTTAACTCTAACATAGTTTTTTTCAAGTTACTGACAAGTTACTTCCTGAACCTTTTTATGCTCATTTGCCATTCAAGATACTGCTGTTCAAATTGTGAGACAGTATTGTGGTCCCTGAATTGACAAAGACAAGAACGCACAAATATTTAACAGACGATCGAAAAAAAGACAAATACCTGAAATATGACATCTAACTAGTCTCTGTGAAAGCAAGGGCCTAACTCATGAAGATCTGTGTTTGAGAATGTAAAGAAGAACACGTCCAGAATTAGCTTAGAGGGTGCATCCATAGTCTGTATTATTCTTTCCTCGCTTGGTGGAGCTGTCACCCAGACGGGTTTTCCTACCCGTTTCCTCTGATTTTGAGAGGCAAGTTCAAGCAGGTGAGACAAAGGAAGGCATGCTCTTTCCCGCTGCTTTAGAGTGGACACATTAATTGGGAGTCATTGATCTGCCAGTATGTCAAGATACTTGCTTTTCACAGAAGCGTTTGTTATGAGGTGATGATTCATGAGAAGTCTGGAGCACGGCTGTATGATAAGCCTTTATATAACAATGGGTAGAGTTAATAAGAACTACGGAAAAGAGCCTGCAAATGCCGGAGGGAAGAGATTTGTTTTCTGGTCAGGTTGCTAAATCTCACAAAACCACTGATTGGAATGAGCTTGTTCCAAAAAGGTAATATTTCAGCTAAACTTTAACTTAAAAGATTTGTTAATTCCACAGAATAATTTTCTTCACCCGCACCCTCTGTTTCTGCCTCTAGATTCTGGTCGGCTGTAACTAAAATTTGTTCAGCAGAGATACAGAATATTCATTTTCAAGGTGAAATATTTTATGGAAAGACCTACAGTTTTCTTGTTCAGCAATCTCATTCACTGACTATATCTGTTCTTAATATTTAAACTAATTCATTATTTTTTGGTAGTCTGGAACATTTGGCAGCAGTACGTAAGTATAATTCTGTTGACACAAGTACTGAAAATCAAACGTAGAGAATGTGCAAGCTGCAGTTTTAAGTATACTGATGTTTCTGCTGATTTTTTTTAATATTGGAGTGTCATTGCACAGCTATGTCAAGTCTCTCGATCAGATTTCTTCAGAAGCCTCAGGTGTTATTTGTACTCCTAGGGCAGACATCACACATACTAAACCGAACATTGTAAGATGTGGTACCTGTATCCACACCACACAAGCAGGGTATTCCTGAGGCAAGTTTAGCTGTATAAAAGCCAAAAGAGATGCCTTTCACCAGTGATAAATACCGCTTTCAGAGCACAAAAGAAACATGCACAGATTAACTCTCAGAAATTCAGGAAAACTTTCTTTTTTTTTTTTTTAAACTTGGCAACATCCACTATGAAGGTCAAATCCAGAAACGGACTTGGAAATAGAAATACCACATGATTCTTGTATAGCAGAGATTAGGGTGGGGAAATAAGCAACTGCTGACATGTATGACTTATTTTTATGCTTCTTTATTTCCATTACAATTTCTAATTTATTAGACATAAATATATGCTAATAAGGTCCTTGGTGATATCTGAAGTGTCTCTGACTTACTGCATTGACTATTAAAAAAAAGAATGACTCAACTAAGGTATTAGTTAGATGACTAGTAATTAACAGATATCCAGGAACGCAAGACTTGACTTATCCAACTTCCACTATCTTCACATTCCCAAATGTCTAAAAGGATTAGTGGTTGTGTTCTGCCAGTTTTTTGGGACTTTAACTTAATTCTTACCTTGCTGATAGACCTAGCATTTGCCTATATATTTTTGTATTCTTTATTATTAATCAAGATATTCTTCACAGCATTCAGGTGAGGTTCAATCTTCAGCAAAGTTATCTTATCATTTTTCATAAATACTGAGATCTCACCCAAAATTTATCCTTAATGCCAGTTCCAACATTTACCTTAATTAACATATAGTAATCAGTATTTTTCCCCCTAAGCCTCATTCAGCTCCAGGGAAATGTGATTCCACGCTCTGGATATTAGGAAACCATTACCCTTTTATCTTTCTAGGACAAAATGACACATCTGGCGTTAAAGCAGGTCCTCTCTGACCCCTTGCCTTCCCCCCCCCCACCCCGCCCCAACTCCTGGACTTTCCTTGTGGATCTGCAACTTCTAATGTCTTACAACATCAACAGGTTGACTCCTCCAATTCACCTTACATTTCACTTTTCCAAAGCAATCTTGGCAGCTTCCTGCATATATTCACTAATCAGTAATTCCTCCTACCAGTGTTTATATTTGATATTCAGATTAGTCAAGTGGTTGTTCAA